ATTTATACAAGTATAGTTTCTGGACCAAGGGGGGGATGCATTTGCCACGGTCATAAATGAAACACTGAGCGCGGACGTTGTCAAGGTACACATCTCTGTCACAGAGGGGACAGGAGGGTGAGAGGCCCAGAACTCATCTGCCTGGAATGTTAGAAGCAGTAGTGGCTACTCATTCCAGAGCATGCTTCTCAAACTCCCGACACCCAAGCATGGGCTCGTGGGCCTCACCGGAGAGCTGTTAGACATGTACACTCTCAGGCCCACCAGACCTGCCGAGTCACAATCTCCACTTACACAAGCCCCCCCCCCCCCCCCCGCCGAGTCTGCACGTGAATTACAGCAGCACTGCTCTAGGCCAGTGGGCCTCAACTCAGGCTGCACACTGGACTTGCCTGGAGAGGATGAAAAGTCCCAGTGACTGAGTTTTGCCCCCAGACTTTCTGAAGTGGTCTGTGCACGGGGAGTGTTTAAAGCTTCCCAGATGATTTTAATGTGAGGCCAGGGGTAAGAACACTGTCTAGACAGAGGGCTCACAGAAGGGGCCCTAGACTGTGCTCAGATCCCTGCAGGGCTGTTATGGGGGAGAGGGAGCCCACTTCTCTGTGGTCTCTGAGGGCAGAGCAAGGACTAGGAGGAAAATGCCATGGGCAGACTGGCATTGCAGTGAAGAGCTTTCTAACAGGCAGAGCTGCCCGAGGGAACAGGCTGTCAGCTCCCTCCCTGGGTGGCCAAGCAGGGACCAATGATCACTCACACAGAATGTGTCTGGGGCGTTCCTTGTTGACTCCAAGGTCCCTTTTCCCTGCTGAGTGGCTGGAGGTCAAGGCCTGAGCTGGGCAGTAGGGTGATGGAGACTGACTAGCCCTCGGTCCTCTCTATACAGGGACAGTGGCTTCTCCAGCCAGGGTGTGGACACCTACATGGAGATGAGGCCCGTCTCCACTTCCTCAAATGACTCCTTCTCCGAACGAGGTGAGGAGGGAGAGGAGAGGGGCTGCGGGGCCTGGGCAGGGCAGGGCAGGGCAGGGCAGGGCAGGGCAGGGCAGGGCGTGGTGGGTGCCCTGACGCCTCTCCCCACGCCAGACCTGGGCAAGGACGAGTGGCCACTGGAACTGTGGGACCTGCTCCACTTCTCGAGCCAGGTGGCCCAGGGCATGGCCTTCCTCGCTTCCAAGAACGTGAGTCGGGAACCAGGGTCCCCACCTAGTCACCCAGGGGGCGGGGGCTCCATTAGTCTGGAGGACGGAGGATGAGAGGAGGAAAGTGAGCATGAAAGGCAGGAGCCAGAAGCAAATGGGCAGTGGCCACAGGGCCTTGGGGCTGCAGCCTCAGAGCTTCCGGAAGGTGGCAGAAAGCGGTGCCAAGTTCCTGCAGGAGGGCCCCGCTGTGCGGCAGGCTGCGGTGCACCCATATCCAAGAACAGGCTTTCGTTTTAGTCAACACTGTGAACAAGACAACCATTGTGTCAACAGCATGAAGCAGTCTTGTGGGGAGGATAACGGAACCCCCGAGTAGTTGGGAGGCTATTAGATGACATGTACAGTACACTCAGCCCAGGAGGAAGTGTCCCGGGAGTGAGAGTGGTGACCGACCCCCTCAGAGCATGACTTGGGAGCCATTTGATTGCTGGCTCTGCCACTTGCCGTGTGACTTAGAGCAATATTGAAATTCTGAGCCTCTGCCTCTACATCCATAAAGATAGGCACGATCACAGGGTTGAGGGCAAATCAGGGTTACAGTGTGTACAGATGCTCAGGGAAGGGCCTGGCGCGGCCGGACCCTGGGAACGGCAGCTATTATTAGAAGCCGATGTGGGCCAGGGTCAGCTCACTGCTCCAGGGCTCGCTGCTTCCAGGCCCGAGTGGACGCCCAGCTCCTTCAGCTGCTGCTCAGGGCCGGAGAGCCAAGAGTGATGGTTTCTAAACATTAAATTGTCTGACCACTTACAATTTTCTCAGCCCCTGGGAGAAGTTAGGGACGGGTCATGATCAGAACCGATGCCCACTCCCTGAGGATCTCGAGGCCTCTGGGCCCTGGCTCTCCTGCACTGGGCTCAGGTCGGGGAGGGCCAGGACGAACCCGGTCTCTTTCCCAGTGCATCCACCGGGATGTGGCAGCCCGAAATGTGCTGCTGACCAGTGGGCGCGTGGCCAAGATTGGGGACTTTGGGCTGGCTAGAGACATCATGAATGACTCCAATTACATCGTCAAGGGCAACGTGAGTGCTGGGAGGGCTGGACCAGGTTGGGGAAGGGTGGTGAGCCAGGGCCCAAGGTGACTGGGGTGCGCTGTGCTAGGCCCGCCTGCCCGTGAAGTGGATGGCTCCAGAGAGCATCTTTGACTGCGTCTACACGGTTCAGAGCGACGTCTGGTCCTACGGCATCCTCCTCTGGGAGATCTTCTCACTCGGTGAGCAGCCAGCCTGGTGCAGGATCAGCCTGGGCGCTTGTGTTTAGTTACCTGTGGTGTCTTATGCCTCCAGGAAGATGTTAGTCAAGGATGCTTGGTGTCTGGGGCAGACCAAAGGCTGGTGGGCATGAAGGAATGTGCAAAGCATCTTAAAACCGTGCCTGCAGCTCCAGCATGGGCGGGGCAGACCCTCCAGCCCGACAGGCACTCCTCTGGGCTGCTCCCTCATCTGCTTGTGCAGTTACCACTTCCTAGAATGCTATTTCCCCTCGTTGTCCAAAACATGCATATTCTTGAATGCAGCTCCCATTTCTGGAGTGCTGGGCACAGGGACTTAGGCTAAGTCCTTCAATGCCCTTCTCCAAGAGCCTCTTATTCCAAAGTCTGCTAGAATTGTGTGGTGTGACCAGGCTGGGTGATGGCTCTCAGCTTCCTAGAACCTAAGCCCTTTGCAGTGCCCAGCACAATTAGCACTGAGGAGCTGTTGTTCTACTGTCGAACCCCACCCTGGCCAAGATGTGTATGGGGTGGAGATGGGGGGAGTACTGAGCATGGCACGATCTTGGCCTTTGCAGGGCTGAACCCTTACCCTGGCATCCTGGTGAACAGCAAGTTCTACAAACTGGTGAAGGATGGATACCAAATGGCCCAGCCTGCATTCGCTCCAAAGAACATGTAAGGGAAAGACTCCTGGGAGGGAGGACATCTGACTTTGAAGGGGATGGAAAGGCATGTGACCCACTGTTCCTTGTCCACGGTGACCCAAGGCCAGGGTTTATCTCCCCACAGTGGACTAAATAACAAGCCCCTTTTAGAGTTCAGGGTTACCTCTGGTTTCCCAGCAGCACAGGGGTGCCAGCTGAACATGCATCTACCCCCACTGCCTCCTCCGTAGCCCATCTCGGAACAGCCTCCCCGTTCACTGCCAGGGTGGATCCACCCTGCTGGCTACTGAGCCCCAGCAGCCCACTTTCCACTTTAGTCTCTTACCACAGCCAATCAAGTGCTCATTCTTTCAGCCCACCTCTCAAACCTACCTGCTGGTTGCAAAGAGTACCCCTTCTTGCTTGAGCAAGACAGTATCTCTGATTCTCCCCACAGCTGTCACAATGGGCAGGATGAAAAGATCTTTCTCCAAGGGCTAGTGGGAAGACGGAGATAACACATACCAGGGCTTGGCTCAGGATTCATGCTGAGCTCACTCTAGGTTTCGGGCCCTCTGCTGGGCAGGACTCCGTAGGGATGTGCATATGACATGATCCCCAGACCCAAAGGCAGCCTCTGTCCTGTCTCAGATACAGCATCATGCAGGCCTGCTGGTCCCTGGAGCCCACCCACAGACCCACCTTCCAGCAGATCTGCTTCCTCCTCCAGGAGCAGGCCCAAGTGGACAGCAGAGAACAGGTGAGAGTCCCGGCTCAGGGTGGCTGGCTGGCTACAGCAGAACAGGCTGGGCCTGACCCGTCAGGGCTGACCATCCCCTGGCCTCGCCTTCCCTCAGGGCTACACCAATCTGCCAAGCAGCAGCAGCAGCAGCAGCAGCGAGCAGGAGAACTCGAGCGAGCAGCTGGCCTGCTGCGAGCAGGGGGACATTGCCCAGCCCCTGCTGCAGCCTAACAACTACCAGTTCTGCTGAGGTGACGACAGGGAAGCACTGCCCATCCCCTCCTCCAAGCTACAACTCCTCTGTGGCTGGGGCGCCACAAGGGGATACAGACTCTGCCCTTGGTTATTTCACTCACTAGCCCAGCCCAGCTCTGAAACTCAGGAAGGAGGGACCCACGAGATATCGGAGAGGACCCCACTTCCAGGAGCTGGGTCATCACTGCCAGCCAGGGGCTGGGGCTGAGCCCCTCCCTTCCCACAGTTCTCAACACTGTGGCTGCATGTGTGCTCTGAGAACCCTCAGCTCACCCTCTTAACCTTGTTCCCATTTCCAGGAACCCCTCCCCCACTCCCCTCCTGTCTCAATGGAAAGACTGGCTTCACAACTATGAAGGCCCCAGGAGCTGTCCCTACATTGAGAAAACGACACTCCTGGGCCTTAGATGAAAGCGGCCCTTCCTCTAACTGCGGAACAGAGTGGACAGGCACTGACCCCTAGGCGCAAGTGGCTCCTTTGCATGAATCTAACTGTACCTCACAGCCTCTGCCCTCTGGTCACCTCTCCACAGCCCCCTCCCACCCTGGACCTGGTACTGCTGTAATGAGCCAGGTGGCAGCTCAAGTTTGGAGTGTTCTGCTCAGTCCCCGTCATCCTGAGCTGGAAGGCAGGGGACCCGTGTGGCTGGCCACACCAAGCAGCACACACTGCTCCAGGTTGACGCATCATAACTCACACCAAGCAGCACACACTTCTCCAGGTTGACTCATCGTAACTAACAGTCACACTGCGGGATGCCACCATCAACATTAAACTAACAGCATTAACACAGCTGGCCTCTGGTTCTTTTCTCACAAGGGCCTGCGGATTCCCTGGGACCTCCTGACACCCCTCCTCCATGTCAAGGGACCAGCTCAGCATCTCCGGAGCTCAACCACACTGTACCCCACAGAATGAGCATGGAACTGACTCTTGCTTCACCAAAACCAGATAATTTAATAAACTTTATTCTTGCTGGGGCAAGAGGGAGGGGAAAAAAGCCATCTACTCCACTCCTCTCAATAAATTAAATAACACATGGCCAATTCCCGTGCCCTAAGCAAACCTCGGGCACTTGAGCCAGTCCTGCTGTTTCCTTATGGCCCAGTCTGCTTCCCCTTCACAGAAGGGAGTTTTTCCTACTGCTGCCAGGTTATGTCATACCTTGGGCCACATCCCCTCTGTGGCTGTGGTGAGGGTCCAGGGCCCAGAAAGACCCAGAGAGGATGTAGGGAGCAGCAGCAGTGGCCAGGGAGAGAAGGAAGGGGATCTTCTTCCTCAAAGCTTGAACAAAGAGGCCAGTCCTGGAAGAGAGCTGTGGCTGTTTCTCCCTCTCTTCCCTGACTTGGGTGCAGAAAAAGCAGGAGGACTGAAGTGCATCCCTCATCTGGGAGAGCCCAAAGGGGCCCCTAGAGTTAATGAGGCCCCCCAAGGCCCTGAGTCAAAGGCAACAGGCTAAGGAGCTCATGGGGCAGTCAGGGAGGAAACAGCACTCCCCTGGGGCGGGAAGAACTATCTCAGCACCTGCCCACCTAGTGCCGTGCTCTGCTGTAGCCCACCCTGGGACCTCCGCCTGACCCGCATCAGGCCCCCGGAGAGCCACCAGCTACCAGCTTTCCCTCAGCCTCCCTTCCCCTCTGTTGAATATACTATGTCCTCCAAGTGCTTTCTTGGGGCTGGTAAGGTGTGTGTACCGGTACCTTTCCCGATCCCTGGAAGGTTGAGAACCAAGGACCCCAGGCCCCACTGTGCTCAGAACATGGGAGCTCTTTGGTCAGTGCCAGCATTAGAGGCCCTCCCCACAGGTGAACACTCTTACAGGTCCCCTGGATGGATCTGCTGGGGTAAGGGCCTCACTATGGCTTGAGAGAGATGGTGTGGTCCCCGTACAAGACCCAGGCTTATTCTGCCACTGTGGCCACCTCCTCTTCCTCACCCTCCTCTTCTGTCTCCGTCTTGATCTGAGCAACCCCAAGGCGGTAAAGGGTGTCGCGAATGACTACCTCGCCAGGCTGGCAGCTCTGCACAATGTCGTGGATCTGCCGGTTGACAATCTCACGGCTGGTGAGGAAGTCCATGAGGCGGTTGTAGAGGTAATAGTGGGTGGCATTGTCAAAGGCAATGGGCCGCTGGCGGACACTGTGTGGTTTGCTGTCTGTGATAGAGGCTAGGATGGTTGCGTACGGTGCCAACTCAGGACACAGGGCCAAAGAGTGGTGCCCAGCACTGGAGTCACCACGACTGGGCTGTGTGCCTGCATGGACAATGTGCCGTGTGGCAGTCTTGGTGACCGGGTGTTGGACAGAGTGCTCGGCCTCCGTCATGTCCACAGTATAATGCTGATCCAAGAGTTCTGGGCAGGACACGCTCTAGAAGAGAAAGAAGCCACTCTGACATGACGGTGGGGACCTGTGGAGTGGGTGAGAGTGAAGGCTGCGGGGTCATCAACCCTGTTTAGATCCTCACAACACATACTGTGTCTCTGGGGGCAAGTCCCCTCTTTTCCCTCTCTGGGCCTCGGTTTCCTCACGTGAGAAGGGTGACAGTAACCAGAACAGATGCTGGATTATCTGAGCTGCCACTATTTATTGCTGTGCCTGGTCAACTGAGGCAGGGCTGCAAGGCAGCAGGAGCGACTGGTTCCCACTGAGGCTCAGACGCTTCCTGCAGTGCTCAGCTCAAGGTCACAGAGCCAGTGAGCCTCAGGGAATAAGGAAAAGGTGAGTGATGTCCTCTTTCTCCTATTACCATCCTGTTTCTTCCTGCAGAGGGTTTGGCTGGCCTGGGGGCACACATGCCTCTGGTAAGAACCATTGCTTGGTACAACGTACCAAGACAGAAACAAGGGCTCTGCCACTAACATGCTGTGACACTGGACAAGTTAATTTCCCCCTCTGGGCCTTACTTTCCCGTTTTAATAAAAGGAGAAGGCTGGACGAGATCAGTGTTTTCTAAGCCACTGTGCCTCAAATCATAACAGACATGCCATCCAAGGCAGGGCTGGCTGGGGCCTTTAGTGTGTCAGTGTCCACGATGACTCTCAAAGGTGGCAATTTTCTAGGTTTATCAGGAAGGCAACTCTGATCCCCAAGATACCTGTGTTTGGGACACCCTGGGCACCCAAAGGGACATGCTGTGGCTGCACACACATGGGCTGGTCAATAAAATGTACTGAGTAAATGCTGGCTCCAGAGCATCAAGACAAAACACTGAGGAAGAAAGGATGATGGAGACAAGGCCCTCCCAAGGAACCAGGGGGTGACACATGGCTGGCCAGCAGAATTTACTCCAGGTCCTCAGAAGAAAACTCACCACAGGTGGTTCCGTGGGGCTAGAGAAACAGCCCTGGTTTCTCCCCCACATCTGGCTGGTCAGCTCTGGGTAGCAAAGGTCGGCACACAGGGCCACTGGTGAGGCCATGTCTACCACATAGACAGGTGGCCAATGGCGAGAAGAGGCAAGCAGATCCACATGGTCACGGGCACTCTCGCCCCGCACAAGATACTTGGAGCCACAGATCACCTAGGGGGAGAGATGGAGGACCCAGCACAGCATTGAGAAGCCAATCTGCAGAGAGACTGAGTTGACTCAATGACTTCTTCCCAGGAAGATAAACAATCACCAGAGCCCATAACATTCTGCTTCCGTCCTCCTCCTGTCCCTAAGTGAAGTTGCCAGCTCACCCCTGACCTCCTGATAGAAAAGTTGGGAAAGTCTGGTCCTCAGCTGAGGCTGAAAAAACCCCCAGGTCATCTGCTCCAACCAACACCCACCATCACATCACCCTACCCAGTACCACCATCTAGCCCAGTGGTTCCCTATCCCAGCTACATAGCACCAGCAGCTAAGAGCTGGTTAAAAATGGAGGTTCCTGGGCCTCATCACAAATCTAAGGCATTTGTATTCCACACAACTCCCCACCAGACCCTGATGCAGGCTAGCAAACACCTCTACTGACAGAGCCCCCAAGCTCCACTCCACTGCCAGGTAGCTGTGTGTACACTGGAGAATTCTGCCTCTGCCTCCACCTTCCACCTTCACACTCACCAGGCTGGCTGCTGCCTCCCAAGTGATATGGCTCTCCCATCACAGCCCTGAGATCTCCAGCTCCCACATCTGTCCCTGTGTTGTCAAGTGCTTGTCATGAGATGGTGCCAGTCACATGAACACAATTCTCTAAGCAGGCTCTGCTTTGCCAGGGTGCAGGCATCTAGGGTCTCCCTCAGACACAGCTTTGTTAAAGGAGCTGACAACCTAATTCTCTTTTGACAGCCAGGCTGCCCTGCCCAAACACACATCTCAGTGAACTGAAGCTCTGCTAGCCCCCGCCCGTTTAGTGCTGTTCATGAGGTGTTATACCCCTGGTGTCTTCATGGGCCTACTCTGTCATACAGCACGACCTTTCCAGAGTGATCCCGGTGCCTTCTCTGTCCGCACCCTCTACAGACAGAGTGATCGCCCTAAAACCACAATCTGGCCATGTCCATCCAATTTCCCATTCAAAACCATCCAAACTATTACTTGGGCCTATAAAGCCGCAAGTGATCTGGCCTCTGGTGACCCCTCCGACCTGCCTTCTCTGGGCTCACTAGGCTTCACACTGAGGCTTAGTGGCCTCTTCCTCTGCTGGAACACTCCTTCCGAGTTCATCCCCGGGGCTCTCGGCCTTCTCTGGCTGCCCCTCACTGTCACTTCCTATCTCAGGCCCCTGCACCACCAGCTGTGGTGACTTTGTTTTCTCACTAAAATGAGGTCAACTAGGAAGAAAAGACATCACTGCTCACCTTTGTACCCTCAACAGCACATGGCAGGGTGCTTAGTACCCCCTGATGACAACCCAGGCTACCTGCCTAGCTCAGAGAGTGGCACCTGACACGTGGAACGGCTCCACAGGCTCCCAGATCCCATAGGATGAGCTGCCTCCACCAGCCTGCAGGCAGTGTGTCATGAGCAAGTTCACCTCAAGCTTCTCCTTGTTATTCTCTTACCTGATGGGGGCACACCTTGTAGATTTTACCCCCTGTGAGATGAGGCGGGGGCTGCCTAGCTCTGGCTCCATTCTGCACAGATTCATAGAGAGCCAACAAGGAGAAGCAGAGCTGGTCCTGGAGAAGAAGGACAAGATGAAAACAACGCAGTAAACTCTACAGGGCCAGGCCTGCGCACAGCACCAAACGCCCACTTCAATGCCCAAAGCGAGGGAAGTCTCACTAGCCGGATGTCCTCTAGGTACAGATGGGGACTCTGAGGCCCTCAAAGGATCAGGTCACGGACAGAGCCAGCCTAACTGACCAAGCTGCCACTCTGTCAAGGCCACTCAGAGGCCTGCATCCTTCCTACTTTTTACAGGGCGGGAAAAACTTCACAGAGAAGCTAATATTTAAGTCTGATCTGAACTTAAACATAAAATGTTCAATAGCTTTATTAGTATGAAGGGAAGTAAATAATGTATGAATAAAACAGCATCCTCTGTCCAACACAGGTGCTCAGTCACAGGTGCTCATACTGCTGCCCAAAAAAATGGAGCATCAGTCTGCTCCCAACATCCCTGTTTCTACTGCTACCCCCAACACTCACCTTGGAGTCTTCTGCCCCAAAGGGGATACCGCATCGCCTCAGCAGCTGCTGCAGCTCCTCCTCACTGTAGGAGCCCAGTTCCTCCAGCTTGCAGGTGCCCTCCTGGAGCAGCCTCACCAAGGCACTGCCATTGCCTGCAAGAGACAATGGTGCTGAGGAGGGCACTGCCTCAGCCACAGTCACAGGCAGTACCTAAGACATGAGGGTGAGAACAAGGGGCAAGGCCTACAGTGCAGCAAGGAGTGGAAGCAGGCTCTGCCCTGGATGCTTGGGGAGGTGGACTCAAGACAGTGTGACTTTTGCAAAGGTCTGAAGTTTCACAGAAATGGCTTTGTGTGCCCGAACATCTGATATATTTGGCAGAGAACCCTTGCAAAGAACTCCCAAATGGGTCAGCTTTTAACCTTTTAAGGTTTTTCAGAACTAAGATCTCAGATGCTTACCACAACTACAGAAACAAGAAGCAGCAACTACAATTTTAAAATGCTCTCTATACACTATGTTCTTGAACCAGCCTAATTAACAGAAATATGTGGGGGCCTTAAAAAACAAGCCCTGGGCACTGCAGCAGCAAACAGGAGGTGGGCCCCAGTATCTAATGTTAGGAAGCCCTGTTTGAGAACCAGTGGATCGCAACATACTAAATACTTGGAAAAATCAATTCAGTGGGTCATATCCAGAATTTAAAAAATGAAATAAAATAGGTAATTAAGTGTACTGCACTTGGTAAGAAAAAATACTGTTCTGTGAACGTTTTGTTTTAGTTACGGATACACACACATGGATATACTTATATGAGTATCATGCTGGGTCATGATGCAGAACCTATTTCTTATTGTGAGCTGCAGTAAAAATAAAAAAAGTAGAAGGCTACCACTCTAATTAATTAGATCACTTACTCTTCACAGCACCTCAGGAGGTAGGTAACTGTATCATGCCCCCTTTGTAACTGAAGCAACAGAGGCTCAGGACAATGAAGGGAATTGGTGGAGGTCACATGGCTACTAATACTAAGTAGCATAGCTGGGACTCAAATTCAAGCTGTCAGAAACCTGTCTCAACAGCTGGTACAGGGGGTCTCAATGTAGATCCACAGGGCATCTGCAAAACCATCTAAAAGACTGTTCAGAAGGCAGACTCCCTGGCCTTCCCCTACACTAATCAATGAGAATCTTTGGGGTTGGAGCCTTAGCATCAGCATTTCTCAGAGGATTTCCGAATCAGTGCAGTGCATCCCCAAAGGCTGCCTGTGGGCTGTGCGGGTCAGTCCTCTACAATATGGCTGGCAGCTCTTCAAAACCCCACACCATGGCTTTAATCTCTAGGGACTGTCACAAGTTGTCTTATCTGTCCAGAAGGAGCCCTTCAGGTGGGCCTGGCCCCCACTCTGCCATTTGTGCATCTTACCATGGACAAGGTTCTAGGCTCTTAACTAGGCCCTTCCCTGACCCCAGTCAGCCACCAGGTGGCCTTACCAGGTACTGGCTGTACATCCGGGTTTTTGTCTTTCTCAGTGTTGACGACCACAGCTCCTCTCATGAGTGGTGGGAAGAAGGGGGCAATAACAGAGGCATCAAACTTGGTGATAGGGATGCTGGCAGGGAAGGCCACCTGCTCAATCACCTCTGTCTCCATCGTGGCCCAAAAGTCCTCCACGTTTACCTCACTAGAGCCCAAGAACTCAGGCCAGGTGAACTAAAAGGTCAGGACAAAAAAGGTCAAACTGTAGGAGCCACAGAATATTAGCAACACAGTAGCCTATCTTCTTGATACACTGAGAGCAACCAAGGCTGGGGAGGAGGGGTTATGACAGCCATGCACTGCTGGGACATCCCCAAATCTGACACCTTAGTACCTGTCTTTTGGTCACATAGAAGCCTGGGGGTGTCTGAGTGAGACTACTGGAGCGCAGGCAGAACAGATGTGAACAAAGGTCTAACTCCAAAGCCCAAGCACTTAATCCCTATAGCGGCTGGCAGGAATCATCAGAATAAAGTTTAGTGACATTCCACCCACTTCCAAGGTCCTGTTAATCCCTGACCTCTTTCAGAAAGGCCTCCCAGACCTTGCCAGGCAGCATACATCTATCTCCTCTACCTCATGCAGGATTTACTTATCTGTTGTAGGCACCTAGTGGTTGTGCTATTCAATTCTTACTCTGGTATCCCCCTTACATGGTCCTCAAAGTGTGACCCTGATCCTGGAACATCAATCACCCGGGAACTTGTTAGAAATGCAAATCCTCAGCCCCGCTCCAGCCCCACTGAATCAGAAACACTGTGGGCGGGGTGGGGTGGGGCAAGCCCTCCACACTGAAGAGTTTGAGGACCACTGCCCAATACAATTCCTACGCCAGCCAAGTCTGAGGACCACTCCTCTACACAAGACATCTATCTCCCCCATCTCACTCCCCTTCCTTCCCCACCTCAGAGGGCACAAGCCCTCTGTGAATAAAAGACAAAGTCTCCCTCCTCATTTCCACAAGGTTCTGAGCCCACCCTCTCCACAAAAAACAGGGGACAGGAAATGCCAACTGAATATGCTGTGTGTACAACTGACATGGCTGCTGTCATCAGTCCAGAGGGTCCTCCTCTATACTGTCCCTGAGAAGAGAGGCCAGCCTGACAAGTCTCCTCACAGACAACTGCATATTTAAGTTTTGTTCAGTAACTTCCTGTTTTATTTCATAGACTTCAGGATACTCCTTACCCCTCCTCCCCACATGCACCACACCACTCTACACACACAGAAGGGAGAAAATCAAGTCAGTCCTGGTCTCCAGAAAGAAACAGCCAATGCCGCTGAAGGAGGCACATGCCTCCTGAGAATGAAGGGAGCACTCCATGAGGAAAGAGCCCTGGCAGGACTATGAGACATGAGCTCTGCAGGGAGAAGGGCTTCTGTCTATTCTGGAAACCAAAGTCTCTGCAGTCCGATGTGTTCAGAAAAACCAGCCCAGAGACCAGGAGGTAAGGGTGAGCATGGCAGTGATTACAAGCTCAGACCCTGAAGTCTGATAATCAGACTGAAGTCAAATCCCAGCTCCACCCCTTCCCGGCTGAATGAGCCTGAAGGTCCCCTGAGCTTCAGTCCCTTTATCTACACAAATCTCACAGAGTTGGGGTGAGAAGTCAGTCATATAGTAAAACACTGAGCATACAATAAGAACTTGGCATATGTAATGAAATGCTCAATTGTAGCTGCATTACTATTAATATTACCATTAGGCAAGCCAATCTGAATGAGTTTAGAATAACCTCTTGATGAGGTAACACACTAAATTTCTTTTTACAGTTCACTTTATCTACCAGGAACACTCGGAATGCTCCAGGAAGCAGTATGCTTGTTTTCATGTCTTGTTATATACCACCGTTCTTCAAATATAAATACTTTTGATCAATATATGTACTTTTTTTTTTTTTTTAATTGGGAAGAAAAAGAGATTAAATCCCAAATATGCTTAACTGGCCGAGCTAAAGCTTTTCTCCAAAGGTCCCACACCTCCCTTGGTGGTAAACAGGTGAGCTGCAGGCCTGGTGCCCTAAGGGTCACTCCCTGTTGCAATCCTCTGGTCACAGAGTCAATCAACCTACGGGATTTTTAACCCCTGGACCAGGTTAAGGAAGATTCCCCTTTATCCCCGTTTGCTAAGAGATTTATCATAAACAGGTGTTGAATAACACTGAACAACTCTTTTACATCCAATGAAATAACCATACGGCTTTTCTCCTTTAATCTAAGCAGTGAATTATATTAGTGTATTTTCTAATGCTGAAGCAATCTTGCTTTCCAGGATAAACTTTGTCACAATGGATTACTTTATTCACTGTTAGAGCTGATTTCCTATTATCTTATTCAGGACTTCAACATCTATATTAATGAGTATAAATCAGCCCCAATTTTTCTGTTATATTAAACGTCTGGTTTTGTTTTCAAGGTTATATGGCCTTATACAATGAGTTGTATATTTGCTATTCTTCTATGATTGGAATCACGTTTCTTGGATATTTCTTAAGAATTAATATGTAAAGCTATCTGAGTTTGATGTTATCTTTGTGTGAACATTTTTTAGTTAAGAACCTAAGTTAGACCAGGTACTCAAACCCTTCAGAGACTTTCTATTTCCCTCAGTGTATATATTTCCTTAAAATGGTCCTTGCAACCCCATGGAGCGTCTAGCCTCCTGAACCTCACGTGTCCTACCACTCTCTCCATTGCTTACACTTCAGCCACACTGGCCTCCTTGCTGTTCCCCAACCATGCCCAGCAAACCCACCTTAGATCTTGTTCTTGCTGCTCCTCTGCTTGAAATGTGCATTTCCCAGAGAGGAACATGGCTTCCCACTATTCAAATGCCCCCTATCAGAGGCCATCTCTGACAATTCTCTATAAAATAGGAGTTTCCCTTTACACCTCACCCTGGGCTTCACTGTTACTACATTTCTTGTAATTTATTATATGTAATATATGTAAATATTATATCAATGTAATATATATAATTAATGTTTGTTTCCTGTTTCTCCAAACCAGAAGAAGGTGAGCTCCATGAACACAAAAACTTTTTGGGTCTTTTTTTTTAAACTGCCATTTCCCAAATGTCTAAAAAGTATACCTAATTCACATTTAATAAATTTGTTGAATGAATAATAAATGCCTGTTTCCATCTGACCTTCCTTAAACGAAAACCTGGGCAGTGCCAGGAAAAAGCCACTCTTCTCACACAGGACAGAACCGGGGCCATCTGCCCCTGGAGACACCATGCAAGAAGGTGGCACTGAAGTGTGAGGACAGTTCTCAAGGTTACCCACGGTGACTGAGACACGTACCTCCACACTCTTCAGCGCCAGCACATTGTCTTCGCTTCTCTGGGCCATTTCCACTTTGGGGGCCACGCCACAGATGCCACAGATCATGTCATTGTAGTCTCGGACAGTGAGGCACTCAAACGCCCAGTAGCCATTGCACAGCAGCTCTTGCAGCTGGCTCAGCTCCTCAGAGGTTAGCGTCTTCTCTGGAAGAGCAAGAGCTCTGAGTAGGTCACAGAAAAAGACCCCCGAGGCCACTGGGGATGAGTTAATGGCCAGCAAGAATAGTAATTCTGCAAGAGGGTTTCTCTCCTAAGAACATCCAAGATTACTAACCACTCTGAGGGGTCAAGCACCCTGGACTTCAAGTGCTCAGGTGGCAAACCAGAGGACAATTCCAATCAGTTGTATCTGCCTGTACTAAGCACCTACCAGGCACTAGATGCTGTATCGACAACTTCAAATTCTCATTTAACTCATATCTTTATGAATGAGGAGCTATTATTTTCCTCACTTTATAACTGGAGAAACTGAGGCACAAATAACTTGCTCAAATCACATTGTCACCACTAACTGGCAGAGCCAAGACTCAAACACAGGCCTGTCTGGCTCTAGAACCTTTGCTCTAATCCATGTGAGCTCATATCAGGGAAAGTGCAGGAGGACTAGAGTCTTTAAGAGTGGGAAGGAAAAGCTTAAACAGAAATAAGTAACGAGAGCAAGGAGAAAATCATTTCTAACAGTGAGGGTGGTCCCCTCAGCATGAGCCCTGGTACTGATAGGAGACGTCCAGAAGCTGGGTATTCAAAATGAGTCTGATTAACATGCAGCAAGGCCAAGTCTACCTATGACCAAAGGACGGGCTTCTAAAAATCAGTTTAACCTCATGCTGAGGGTCCCTAGATGTATGGACAGACTCGCGCTTTTCAAAGTTAGTTTGACATGAGTAAAATTCAAGAGAAGTGAGTTAAGACTTCCGGTCAAGATGGTGGTGTAGGTAAACGTGGTATCGCGTCCTCCCACAACCACATCAAAGTTACAACTAAACGACAGAACAATCATCATTCAAAACCGCCTGAAATCAAGCTGAATGGAAGTCCTACAACTACGGAATTAAATCAGCAGCCACATCCAGACTGGTAGGAGGGGCGGCTGCGCAACGGGCTGGTCCCACACCCACGTGTGGCGGATAAAAATCAGGAGGCTCCCGCGGCTGGGAAGGTCCTTCCTGAGAACTGAGGGGTCCCCGTCCCACACCAGGTGCCCCGCTCAGGGTTCCAGTGCCAGGAAGAGAAGTCCCCATAACTTCTGGCTGGAAAAACCAGCGGAAACTGAGGCTCAGGGAAGCTGAAGCGGCTGGAGCCCCAGGCAGCTCCCTAAAGGGCCCGCGCACAGACTTATCGAACTCACTCCCTCTAAGCTTGGAGGGGTGGCAGCTCGAGGGGTGCCAGAGACATACAGGGAAGAACTGAGCTGTTTGGCACTGGAGCGAGGGCTACAGAGGGGGCTTTCTCGGGGACAAACGTGCTGTAAGAGGCCTTTGATCCTTTGGTGAGCCCTTCCCTGGGGCAGCAGACAGTCTCCATATCTGGGACTCCAGCAACCTGGCTCACACTGGTAGCCCCGCCCTGGTGACTCCCTGAGGCCCCGCCCCACCACGCCCCACACAACTTTCAGGCCCACCCAAGCTGTTGCCACTTGCTTAACCATAGAATTGGCCTGTCTTGGATCCTGCTTCAGGTTTTTCCTAAATTCTTTCAAACGAGCAGCATCGGGTCTCAGCGAGCCCCATACCTCTCATTAAGTAATACACTGAAACAAACACAGGGAGGCAGCCAAAATGAGGATACAAAGAAACAGGTCCCAAATGAAAGAACAGAACAAAACCCCAAGAAAAGAACTAAGCAAAAGGGAGATAAGCAACCTAACAGATGCTGAGTTCAAAATACTGCTTATAAGGATGCTCAATGAACTTAGTGAGAACCTCAGTGAACTTAGTGAGGGCCTCAAGAGCATAAAAAAGGACCAGTTAGAAATCATGGATACACAGTTAGAATTGAAGGAGGCATTAATTGAAATAAAGAATAATTTACACAGCTTCAATAATAGAGTATGTAAATCCAAGGAGCAAACCATCGATTTGGAATATAAGGAAGCAAAAAATGCCCAATCAGAACAGCAAAAAGAAAAAAGAATCCAAGAAAATGAGGATAGTGTAAGGAGCCTCTGGGACAACTTCAAGCGTGCCAACATTCGCATCTTGGGGGTGCCGGAAGGAGAAGAGAGAGAACAAGAAATCGAAAACCTGTTTGAAACAATAATGGCAGAAAACTTTCCTAACTTGGTGAAGGAAACAGACATACAAGTCCAGGAAGCACAGAGAGTCCCAAACAAGATGAACCCCAGAGGCCCACACCAAGACACATCACCATCAAAATGCAAAAGGTTCAAGACAAAGAGAGAATCTTAAAAGCAGCAAGAGAAAGGCAGCTAGTTACCTACAAGGGAGTTCCCATAAGGCTGTCAGCTGATTTCTCAAAACAAACTTTGCAGGCCAGAAGGGAGTGGCAAGAAATATTCAGAGTGATGAAAAGCAAGAACCTACAACCAAGATTACTCTATCCTGCGAAGCTGTCATTTAGAATCGATGGACATATAAAGAGTTTCCCAGACAAGAAAAAATTAAAGGAGTTCATCACCACCAAACCGTTATTATATGAAATGATGAAGGGTCTTTTTGAAGAAAAAGATAAAATGTATGAACAAACAAAATGGCAATGAATACATATCTATCAACAATAGAATCTACAAACAAAATGAACAGGTAGAAAAGAAACATTCTCATAGATACAGAGAATATTTTGTTGGTTGCCAGTTGGGAGGGGGGTTGGGGTGAAAAAGGTGAAGGGATTAAGAAGCACAAATTCATTGCTAGACTGACAAACCTCAAAGGGAAAGGGGTTGGGGGAGTGGGAAGAAATAAACCAAAGAACTTATATCCATAACCAATGGTCACAGACAATAGTGTGGGAAAAGGTGGGAGGGGGGCGGGAGTGGGGAGGAGAGGGTCAATGGGGGAAAAATGTGGAACATCTGTAATACATTTTACATCCAACAATAAAGATTTGGGGAAAAAAGAAAAGAAAAGTGAGTTAAGAGGCCAAGAAATGTCTCCTTTTCAAAATATCAGACTCTCCCACAAGATGACCATTTCAACCAAAGCCCATCAGTGAAACATCCCAAGGAGCTTGGGCCTAACGTTGGGAAAGAGAGGGCGCCAACCTTTACCTGTCTGCTCCTGCACTGACTTCAGAACAGTGTTGATAGACACTCTAGGGTCCTCTCCCAGCTTGATTTGGTTTCGGATTGCAAAAAGCAAGTCCAGGCTCACTAGCAGCTTGTTCCCCACATTAAAGAGACCTGCATGTTAAGAAGAGGTAACAGGGAAATTCACCATAATATCATCCACAGTGACCAAAAATTGGGAACAAACTGAATGTCCAATAGGGGAATAATTAAATAAATTATGGTGCATTCATAAAACAGCAAACTATCCATCATTACAAAGAATAAGGTAGACCTAAATGCTCCAATGCAGTGGTTCTCAACCTTCCTAATTCCGCAACCCTTTAATATAGTTCCTCATGTCATGGTCACCCCAACCATAAAATTATTTTCGTTGCTACTTCATAACTGTAATTTTGCTACTGTTATGTCTTAGGCGACCCCTATGAAAGGGTCGTTCAACCCCCAAAGGGGTCGCGACACATAGGTTGAGAACCATTGCTCTAATGTGAAGTTGTCCATAATACATTATTAAATGAAAAAAAGCAAGTAATAAAATACATATAGCACTTTTTTTAAGGTAAAAAAATAAACATCTCCCTACCACCCAGCTCAGGCCTCATGACCTCTCACAGGTGCAATGTGGGGAAAGACCAGGAGTATTCTTTAGGGGTAAAGGGTGGACTTGATCACAAAGAGACAGTACAAGACAATGTTTTGGAATGATGAAACTGTTTTATATATTGACTGTGGTGGCAGTTACACAACTCAATGCATTTTTCAGAAGTCATAACTATACAGTAACAAAGTAAACTTCACTGTGTGTAAATTTAAAACTACTCTATCCTGCAAAGCTATCATTTAGAATCGATGGACATATAGTTTCCCAGACAAGAAAAAGCTAAAGGAGTTTATCACCACCAAACGAGTATTATATGAAATGTTGAAGGTTCTTCTTAAAGAAGAACAACAAAAATATGAACAATAAAATGGCAATAAATATGTATTTATCAAAAATTGAATCTATAAACAAAATGAGCAAGCAGAACAGAAACAGACTCACAGATACAGAGAATTTTTTATAGGTTGCTAGATGGGAGGGGATTGGGGAGATGGGTGAAAAAGGTGAAGGAATTAAAAAGTACAAATTGGGCCCTGGCTGGTTTGGCTCAGCGGTTAGAGCGTCGGCCTGCGGTCCAGAGAGACCCGGGTTCAGTTCCCGCTAAGGGCACGTACCTCAGTTGCAGTTTGTCCCTGGCCTTGGTTGGGTCATGTGGGTAGCAACCACTCGATGTGTCCCTTTCACATTAATGTTTCTCTCTCTCTCTCCCTCCCACTCTATCTGAACAAAATATCAAAAAATGTCCTCAGGTGAGGATTAAAAAATAAAAGTACAAATTGGCCCTGGATGGTTTGGCTCAGCAGTTAGAGTGTTGACCAGTGGACCAAAGAGTCATGAGTTCAATTCCAGTCAAGGGCATGCACCTTGGGTTTTGCTTCGGTCCCAGCCCTGGTCAGGGTCATGTGGAAGGCAACCAATCAATGTGTCTCTCTCACATCAATGTCTCTCTCTCTCTTTCTCCCCCTTCTTCTCACTTAGTCTGAAGATAAAATGGAAAAATATCCTAGGGTGAGGATTAAAAAAAAAACACAAAAGTACAAATTGGTTGTTAGACTGACGAACCTCAAAGGGAAGAGAAGAGGGGGACAGGAAGAGATAAACTAAAGAAGTTACACGCATATATGCACAACCAATGACAATGTGGGGAAGGCAGGAGGGGGAAGAAAGTAGGGACATCTGTAATACATTCAACAATAAAGATAAGTTTAAAAGGGAAAAGAATATTTAAGCCCTGGCCAGTTTTGCTCAGTAGTTAGAGCGTTGACCTGCGGACCAGAGTCCTAGGTTCTGTTCCCGCTAAGGGCATGTACCTGGGTTGCAGTTTATCTCCGGTCCCCGTTGGGGTTGTGTGGGTGGCAACCAGTCAATGAGTCTCTCTCACATTGATGTTTCTCTCTCTCTCTTCCCCCCTCTCCCTCCCACTCTATCTGAAGATAAATGCAAAAAGAAAAAGAAAAAGAATATTTAAAACTAAAGTTAAAATGAAAATATATAATCCTAAGGCACTACTGGCCTGAGAGACTGCAGGGAAATGGCATTCCATTAACCGCTGGCAAGAGCATAGGTAGTACAAACTCAATCTGGCAATACAAGAAATTTAAAATAAGGCACCATAAGGTTCTGAAGACAGAATAAATAACAAACACTCTCATCTTCAGCACCCAATTCTACATATAAAACTCAAGATTCAAATTCTCACAGTGGTTGGTACATGATGAATATTCAATGAATGTTTGATGTTGATGAACAGAGGGGAAATGGGTGAGTATGCAGCAATTTCACTTTGGAGCATCTGCCCAAAGGACATAATTAAGGCTGTACACAAAGATTTAATTATAAAGAGGACTCTAAAATAGAGGCCAGTTACTTCTTAAAAATGTTCATGTATTTCTCCACTTGCTGGCACAAGAATAAGCCCATGATATACTGCTGAATTTTAAAAAGCACATTCCAAAACAGCATCCAGCACAACCCCATTTTTGTTGAAAGGAAAGCTATAAACCTATAAATCCCTCCACACTTTCTTATATTCTACAGTAATGAATAACATACCTGGGATTAGAGGGCAAAATGTTAAGTGATTATCTCATGGCAGGATTACCAGTGATTTTCAGTTTCTTCTATTTGTTAGCATTTTCCAGTTTTTCTATAATCAAGATGTATTATTTTAAAAATAACTTTGTTGCCAGGCCAGTGTGGCTCAGTGTACTGAGCGTTGTCCCATGGAGTGAGAGGTCCCGGTTTGATTCCGATAAGGGCATGTGCCCAGGTTGCAGGCTCAGTCCCCATTTGGGGGCTTATAGGAGGCAGCCGATCAATGTTTCTCTCTCATATCAGTGTTTCTCTCTCTCTCCCTTCCTCTCTAAAAAAATCAATAAAAACACAACAGAAAAAGTAAAATAAAAGTAACTTTGTTTAAAGACCATGAACAATCCTAACACTTGACAGGTACGTGCACACTGGAGCTGAGACACCCAGGAGGAAACCCCTCTCCCTCAGAAGCCCTATCTGAAAGAAGGTCCAGTGCTCGCAGACCAGAGGTCCGACCCACAGAGGCTGTTCTCAAGCCTGCCTTAGGGAACCACTGAGGAAGAAAGGCTAGCACCCACCTGTATAGATGTCCATGAAGCTATGCAGGGCCAGACAATGGGGATTTAGACACATCTTCACCTGGGCAGTCACCACCTGCAGCCGGTTGGCTGTCAGCAGCCAGCACTCCTGAGGCCCAGCCAGGCAGCTAATACCCAAAACATCACCAACAAAAACAGAAAGAATATCAACCTCTTAATAATCAGCCTCCAAGGATCAGTGATAAACAACAAAATTCTCAAGACTTTACCACAGTAGGAAAAAGAAGGTGCTGGAGCTTGTGTCCCAAGGTTTCCTAGGTGGGTGTTCCACTTTGTTGGAATCTGGTCTGTGGAATCACCCCCCAATTTAATATAACTCTCAATTTAACCAATCCCACCGAACTCCCAAATATAAGCATTATGCTGGGCAGTCCAGAGGTAAACTAAATTCTAAATTGGTGACAATAACTTTCAGGCATTTTCAATGGAAATAATGGATGATTATTAATTATTATTAACTAGCAACTGGAAAGTAAAGGAAACTTAAGAAAAACAGAGAATAACATCTTCAAGGTTACAGCTTAAAAGTTGTTTGAAGAAAGGGGCATTATGGGCCAAGTGAGACAGGGCAGCTAGGGGCAGGAATGTGAGAAGGCTGCTTACTTTTGTCCCCCTTTGAATAATGGGCTGTTACAGAGAAGGCACTGCGTGGATGGAGACTCATAATAATTCGACCAAGAGGTTTGCTCGATGGTGACTGTCTCCTCACTCACGTTGGACAGGATGAGTCGAGAGCTGTTGAGTTCATGAATCAAAGAGAAGACCTCGGCCAGCTCAGACTCATTCTCAGGAATCTGCAGAACCTTGCGCAGCAGCTGCAGCGTGGACTGGCGCTGGATCTCCCTCTGGCCGGCGCTCAGGGGCTCTGTGACACTCATCCCATCTGGGAGTGGTGAGCTTGCCTCCTGGGAAGAGAGTAGACTGATCACCAACCACCCAGGGCAGGAAGAGCCAGCCTCAGGCTCTATCATGAGAGGCTGTGAATGGCAGAGGGATGGGCCCATGACTGAGAAGGAAAACCTACGTCCCTAACCAGCTCCGTTAATAATTCACTTGTGACTTATGGCAGGTACTTTCTCCTTCTGGCACTGCTTCTCTATCAATAAAGTGAAAGAACTACGAATATACACCTCCTAGTAATGGATTCCGGTGTCGGCTCCCGTTCACCAGGGGATTTGGAGGAAAAGAGATCTGGGTTTCAGTTCTGGATATGCCATTTAACAGCTCTACAAGTGTTACCCAAAGCAATTTACTTAATCTTTCTGAACCTCAATTTCCTCACCTATGAAATGGAGGATCAAAATATTAGTAATCTCCTTGAGTAGTTGTACAGAGTAAATAAGATACTGTAAGTAAAACACTTAGCACAGTACCTGGGATGCAATGAAAAGTCTATGAATGGTAGTTTAGACATATAACCAAATATCTATAATAATGTTTTATCTTTAATGTTTTGTGGGTTTCTAGATATAAGAGCACTTTATATACTAGTCAGAGGCTTCCAGGAACAAGGTTCTGAAATGCTCATTAAAAACAGGTCCTTCTCAGGTGGGTCCCTTTTCAATGGAGGCCCTTGTGCAAATGCAGCCTGAATTACTCCCTTCTCCCTGCTCCTAGAGTCCATCCCCTTACTGCAGAATTCAATGTCTCACAGTTGGTAAACCACTGCCCACCCTCGTCAGTGAGTATAGGATCCCTGCTTATTTATTAAGTCCTAATACCGGCATGAGGTTGAGGTACACAAAAGATGCAAATTCATATTTGCTGGACATGGTATACACTGCTTGGTAGAAGTTAATAAAAGAAGGCGCTTTCTATTAATTCTACATCCTAGGACAACTCTTGTCCTGCTGTCTATAATAGTTTGGTTACTTATCTTTCTCCCTCATTAAACTATAAGCTCCTCAAGGGAAGGGGCCATGCCCTACTCGTCTTTGTATCTCCAAAAGCCTGACCCATGTAGGCATTCAATATATGCTTGCTGAAAGAATGAAGAGCTGAGTGACACTAGAATTGAGCTGCCCTAGGAGGTTGTGTGTTCCCTGTCATCACTATGTTGAACCATGGGCTGGGAGATAAGTTGGCAGAATACTATCCTTTGGCTCTGAGCCACAGATGAAAGATGCAAAGGAATGAAGACTGTTTCAGCCCAAAGATGTTGCAATTTTACTTACAGCATCTGAAGACAAACTGCATAGGTAATGTATGGCCACCAGGGGGCTCAAAAGAGCAACACATGCAAAGGCCCCTGGGTTTCTGACCGGTTATTTTATTTTGTGGAAAACCATGACGACACTTCTCCTAAAATTAAGGAGATTGGAAGGTAAGGGAATGTCTGAAGATGAGGGTTCTTGGGGTAGGCAGCTACTGGTTAGCCAAAGACAGAAGGATATAAATAAGAGTGTGATTTGAAATTAATTGGCAAGAGGTATCTAGATAATTCCTGCCTGACCTGGAAAGTTAAGTGACCTCATTATCCAAGATCTAGAGACCAACACCCACTTCCATGCTGTAAACCAACATCTAAAGGAGCAGGAAGGAATGTTCAGAGCATCTACCTACACAGAATACAATTTCATCCCATAATTACTGATCGACACGTTATTGTATTGTATTAGAAGGTACAGGGTTAGAAGATATAGGGGAAACAGATATACCCGCCCTAAAAGAGATTATGGTCTCAAGGGGAACTAAAAGAGGGAGTTAAGACAGGGCATGGTCAATGCTGGTAAAGAGAAGCAATTAAACACATGGAGAACTCAGGAAGAAAGCTCACACTGCCAGCAGAGGGCACCCAGTGGAACGGAAGAATGTGCTGGATGATACGGATCTTACATGCAATTTCAGGGGTTTATAGATTGCTTGAAGCTCAATTCTGAGTATTCTGTAGGGCTCATGGCCCTGAGAATAAAATGCCCCAATCTAATCCACCTTGTCACCTTATTTATTGATGGGGAAAACAAAAGCTTCCAGCCTAGGGTCTTTCAATTCCTAGTACCAGTATTTTTTTTCACTAAGCTGTCAATGCCCACATACTTTAGTTCCACTTCCCTTTCTCACAAAGACAATAACCTCACACCATCCCAAGCACAGAAACAGACCTGGAGACCAGGGGATGGGATTCATCAGCAAAAAAGCCTCTCCTCATATGCAGAAACCTTGAGGCCTAAAGCAGTTCTGTCCATGTCTCAGTCCTGTTCACTCCCAAACCCACATAAGCCTCCTTCCTCACGTAGCCTTTTTCTGGGCCTCTCCCTGGCTCAAGAACATTCACTGGGACCCCCTAACAGAAAGACAGACTGCCCAGTCTAGCACTGAAGATCTTCCATGATAGGGCCCTGACATGCCTTTCAAGCCTATTTTCCATATTTCTCCCATAAATCCTCTCTTCTGGCCATGTGAACACCCACTGACTCCCTGCCTCTTCACTTTTGCTCATGCTTGCCCATGAGTGCAACATGCCTTTCCCTTCCATCCAAATCCTGCCCACTCTGCAAGATCCAGCTTAGATCTGGAGTGGCTAGGCTCCACCTCGGATTCTGACCATGTACCATTCTTTCCCCGCAAGGCAGATGAGTTTACGTTCTTCTAATTACTCTCATCCTAGTCATTCCATTTGCTGCCTCAGATACTATTTCTGTCCATTTTTAAAAACTCACATGTGGCCCTGACCGATATGGTTCAGTGGTTAGAGCGTCGGCCTGCGGTCCTGAGAGACCCGGGTTCGGTTCCCGCTAGGGGCGCGTACCTCGGTTGCAGTTTGTCCCCGGCCCTGGTCGGTTGTGCGGGTGGCAGCCACTCGATGTGTTCCTTTCACATCGATGTTTCTCTCTCTCTCTCTGTTCCTCTCTCTCCCTCCCACTCTACCTGAACAAAAAATGGAAAAATGTCCTTGGGTGAGGATAAAAAAAAAAAACAAACAAAAAAAACTCACATGTGGAAATTCAGAGGACCTCTGAAAAAGCCCATTTTTCCTTGATCTGAAAATAAAAAGCTAGTGGAATGTGTTTTACTCCAAATAGTTTGGTCCAACTTCAGGGAGCAGGCCTGCTAAGAATGCTAGAAGTAAAGTTTTATGACTAGCCAAAAGTTCTACAAGGAATGTGAGAAGCAGTGATCTAATCTACAATTTTGGTGTTGTCATTCTCTATTCATCAAAATACTACTGACAAGTCCTCTACCACATCTCAGAGCTAAAAGGATGTAACCTTTCCATCTCTTCTTCTGAATCCTATTTAAGGCCTGTGTTACCATTCTCTTTGGTGAATGAACTCTGGGTTCACTGGGGCAGAAGAGTCTGAGATCAAGGTATCTGATCAACCCCTCACCCTAGCAATGAAGACAAGGAAGTCCAGAGAGAAAAAGGCACTCGTCCAGGCTCAGAACCTATAACCTGGTTCTAGTTCTGGTGTTCTATCATGTACTAGGAAATCCTTTCATTTCTACTAAAACAGGTTCACTAACAGAGCCCAACCCAAGGCCAAGGGATGTGTTTGGGGAAGGAACTCACGAGAGCCTTGGTGGTTTTCTCAGTCCGGTCTTTGGCAAGGTTAAAACCACAGCTGGGACAAATCCGCGGTTTATGCCGGTTGGTGTAGACATAGCTACAAGAGGGATTCTTGCACTTTCCCCGGCCTCTTGATGTAGCCAGGCCCAAATCCTAAAAAAGTAAGACCAATGTTCAATTCTTCAAAAGTTGAGTTATAAATGGACAGAGCCAAGAACCAGGATGAGCAGCTATCAGTAAACCAGAAAAGAAAGTGGCAAATGTAAAACCACAGTTAGACTAACTTCCAAAGAGTCTGGAAGCAAGATCCCTGTTCTGCGGTCATCCACTTTAGTCTTTTACTTTTATATTTTTATTGATTTTAGAGAGAGAAGAAGGGAGAAGAGAGAGAAAAACACGTATGTGAAAGAGAAACATCGATCGGCTGCCTTCTGTACACAACCTGACTGGGGATCAAACCTGAAACCTGTGTACATGCCCTGACTGGGAATTGAATCTGCGACCCTTTGGTGCATGGGTCGAAGTTCCAATCAACAGAGCCACACCGGCCAGGGCCCCCCCTTTTAATCTTAATATAGCTTCTATAATGTTGTGAAGTCCTTCCCATCTGTGAAACAAGTGAACTGACTGTCAAAGGCCAGAGATTCAAATGCATTTGGGGTTCAGGCAGAATGAAGCAGGCCTGTTCTAATGGAGAGTGAAAGAGACTGTGGTGAACAGATTTCAAGCCCTGCCTAAATACAAGTTGTAACTTCTGAAATATTTAAGCTAAAAGCTCTGGCATTTAATCTCCTATGATAGACTGTTGTCTAATCAGCCAAAGAGAGGGTCCTGGGCAGTATCTACCAGAGAGTAACCCTAGTGGCCTCTTGTAGCCAAAGGGGTGGGTGGTGAGAATATGCATGGCATGCAGAAGGTAGTAATTAGGAATTTGGAATCAGAAACCTGAGCAGATCTCGGGATAGAGACGCATTCTACTTAAGGATCAGGCTAGGTACCAACTCACCATCCCGTGCTGTCTTGTTCAATACTAAATCCCCAGCACAATGTTTGGCACAGAGCAGGTGCTCAATAATCTTTTTTTTTTTTTTAGTGAATGACTGCTTTTATCAGGTAAGAATTTATAAACATCTAGCTGCTCTCTCAAAATATATGCATTTTATTTAACTCAGTGAGAGAAACTGCCAAAGGCATCTGGCTGGTTGATAGCTTAAGGATCAACAAAATTAGAGAATGTTAAGAGCAAGAGAAGCCCCGACATGGTATCCAAAGCAATGCAGCATTTTAGAGACAATAAAAACTAGACCAGAGAAGGAAAGAGCCTTGCCCAAGGCCATGGGGCATGCTAGCAGCAGAACAAGATTCACTTTGGACTAGGTTTCTTTGACTTCTAGTGTTTACTCCATGCTCCTAATGCTTACCCTCCAAAAGGATGAGTCACACATTTGTTCACTGGGATGTTAATATGTGGATGTTAAAAATAAAAGAGGGAGAGGGAAAACCTTGGTGGGAAATACCAGGTTAAACAAAATAAGTTGATTTACTAAAGTACTTCTCAAACCTTTTAAGAAACTAAGATTGAATGTGACTATTTTGAGGAGGAGAAAATATAAAATTTTTCAAACTTATCTATGAAACACACTTCTATAGCTTAAAAGGTCCAAAGATGGGTCTGGATTCTCATCTCCATTTATTTTTAGTAGAAATATCCTAATCTCAACTTTATAGATCTCTCCTGGGAAAAACAACAGATCTAGCTGATTTGCCCAGTACCTATCATTTGTACAAGTGATGGGGTCTTCAGAATCAATGATCTATCTCTGACCTTCCTCTTACTCCCCACCCACCGCAGACTCCTACACACCCTCAAACACAAAATCAAACCACCTCCGTGTCAACCCATCACTTGGCTGCACTTACCAGTGTGACAGTGCAGCTGTACTTATATGGAGGAAACATATCAGGCTTGACCTCTACAACTTTCAACTGAGACGTCCTGTTGGCTGAGCCATTTGGTAGCTGTGGATCAGAACAAATCATTTAGTGTGTCTGAACCTCAAACTCCTGAGGTCCTGTGTTCTAAAACAGCTTGAGGAAACAGTTTTCCAGGAAATTTGTAGAGCCATTCTCCCAATGAGCCCTCTGGGATGCTAGCGGTCAACAGCCCACCAAAGGTTGAGTGTCCCTTTCAAGTTCACATGTTGCCACACTCTTCTGTGTAGCTTCTAACACTGCATATTAGAAATACTATGAATCAGATTCACAACTACTATCAAGTGAGAAAAACGTATAATTAGTTGCTATACACACAAATACGTGGTTGAATAACGTTTGCATAGAAAGAAGTCCAGAAGATTTTTCAGTCAAATGCTCCAGGGTAGAAGAACAAGACTGTTTCCCCTTTAACCACTATCTATAAAATTTCAAATGTTCTATACTGAATGTAGATGTTACTTACATAATTTAAAAAGATGAAAAAAGCATTCTAAATTAAAAGTATTCTGTAATACTAAATTTAAGTTGATTTATAGAATATAAGATTTCACGTACTTAAGGTTTAAGACTAGCAAACGGGCTTATTTTAACAAATACCAAAATTTAAACCAAACAAAACTAATTACAGAGAAGACTGGGAGTTTACACAAGTAAAGGGAATAATCTAAGGGCTGGAAATCTACAAAGTGGTACACTCGGTGCTGACACATCTGGATGACAAGCAGACCAGCCTTCAAAGTAAAAGCCGGTTGATATTCTCATTGTGGCAAAGTTATAACTATCAGACAAAGGAAGTTACCTGACATAGTGCACATGGCAAGGGAGATGGTAGACCGATTTTCCTGTTCCAATTTGGTCCATGACAGGGTTTTCAAACTACAAGCCACAATCCACTGAGGGGTCGTGAAATTAATTTAATGGGCTGAAACTAGCACTTTGAAAAAAGAAATGGAAAATACCAAAGTGACTGCACACAATTAAGAGCATTACTTCATTAAACTTTTAATGTGTGGCTGTATGTATGTTTACTGGGCTGTGATGTAAAAATGTGTTTCCTATTGGGGGTCTTGGTCAAAAACAAGGAGTCTTGTGAAGAATGCTGACTTAGGGAATTTTGATTATAACTAGCCACATATGGCAAAAGAACTAAAAAAAGAAAAATCTAAGAATAAATGTACTTGAATACATGGAATTTTGACACCTTGGAAATCTTACATAACTATGTCGTTAAACTGAATGAACTGTACTGGCAACAAATCAGTACACAGAGTAAGCCATTTTTGTTTGTTTAAAAGATTATATTAAAAAAGTAAACACACACAAATGCAAGAAAGGAGTTGAAGGCTAAACGAGCACACGCCGGACTGTTACTAGTAGTGAGTTCTGGGTGGCAGGATCACAGGGACTTATTTTCTTTCTGCTTTACCTGAATTTTCTATATTTTGTAGAACAGTCATGCATTCATTTTTTTTTTTGGTACGTGCCCCTAGCAGGAACCGAACCTGGGACTTTCTGGTCTGCAGGCCAACGTTCCAACCACTGAGCCAACCCATGCATTCATTTTTTTAAAGGAGGCTAAAGAGACATGAAAACTAAACACAATATCTAATCTTTGACTGAACCCTGTACTAGAGTAAAAAATGCTATAAAGAACATAATTGGGTAAAACTGACAGAATTGAAATACAAATAATAAAGCACTGTATCAATGTTTCAGTAATAGAATATCTGCATTTTCAGGAAATACACACTGAAGCATTAAGAAGTAAAAGGCCATGTAGCCTTAACTTATATATTTTTTATACATATACGCATATATGGGGAGAATACCTATGAGCACATTAGAAAGCAAAATGAACTAAGACATTAACAACAGGTGACTGGGTAACGAGTACATGGGTGCTCTTTGTTTTTGCTAATTTTTACTCTTGCAAGTGTTTTTCTAAGTTTTTAATTATTTCTAGTTTTTAGACACACATTTAATTTTATAACAAGAAATTAATTAATTAAGAAATTAACGCTAACCCCCTCCCAGAGGTCCACCAGTGTTAAGAATGAGGGTCTGCTTTTTGCATACAGCTTTGGGACACTAAACAGAACCTGTTTTTGGAGCACACGGCTCCTCCTCAGGGAAGGGAATGCATCTTACCTTCACCTCACCAGTGTTAGATGGCTGTTGGATGGGCTGGCCCAGCTGCTTCAGTGTGCTTGGCTTCAGGCCACAAGTCCTCACAGAGGGAGTCTTATCTGAGACAACCAGGAGCCAAACTGGTAACTCATGTGCATTCAGTCTCCTTAAGTCTCTCATCTCCATTCTCAACCCCCACTCCTGTCCCCTTCCCATTAGACAGTCCCTCCTCCCAGGTCTGTCCCAGTCCTTACCGCTCAGGGGAAAGGCCTGCCTGGTCCTGGGCAGTCCCACACTGTTGCCTCGACCCACATTAGCTGGGGCCGGCAAAATTGCTCTCATGGGTCTTGCTGCAGCCAGTAATGAAGGTTTGCCCCGTGCTCTGCCTTTAAGCTCTGGGGCTCTGGGGCCAGAGGTAAGCAGGTCAACTCTGGGAAAAAAAAAAAAACAAGGAGGAAAATCTCCTAGAAATTCAGGACCAAGAGGAAGAAAAAGACAAGTACAATCTCTAAACAGCACTTTATTGGAGGGATAATTTAGTCGTTCAACTGTCAGGCTTTAGACAGATGGGGTTCAAATAAAACTTTTAAGTAGATGTGTGGCCCTGGGCAAGTAATCTCACTCTTCTGTTAACCTCAAGTTCCTAATATGTAAAGTGGGATAGTAATTACATATGCTTCATGGGTTATTATGAAGATAAATAAAGAAGTGCAAAATAGTACCTACAGTGTGCAATATCAATAAAAACATCTAATCTGCCTCTAATTAGAACAAGTATTAAAAATATATCAATCTCCCACATGACAGCGGCTTAGAGACCCGTAACGGTCTGTTTTTTTCCATCTGTAGCTACTGTGTTGAGCGCAGAGCCTGCACCATAGAGGGCCTCAACCCATGCGTGCTAAAGTGATTCATGTGCCCAAACAAAAGGTCTCAAGTGCACAGCTTCATCCTCTAAGGATACAGAACTATCTCAAAGTATACTGTTAAAATAAATACATGTACACATAACAATATACATTTATATTTTTGAATATGACTAAAATTATCTCCAGAAACAGGATGCTGAGATTATTGCTTGTCTCTGGGAAATGGAAATGTATGACTGAAGGACGGAACAGAAAGGGTAATTTTATTCCTTAAACCTTTTGAGTTTAACCATGTGAATATATTTCCTACTCAACAATAACATTTTTAAATTAAAATTATTATAAACCAGAATTTCTCAACATTGGCATATTAACATTATGGGTCAGAAAATTCTTTCTTGTGGGGGCTACACTGTACATTATAGAATATGTAGCAACATTCTTGGCCTCTACCAGTAACCCCATCCCAACCAGGTCATAACAACCAAAAATGTCTCTAAACATTGCCACAATGTTCCCTGGAGGCAAAATTATTCCTCATTATGAACCACTGATATAAACAAGTAAGGGCTTTCAATTATAAGACCACAACTGCCCCTGTGTAGGGGCTACTGGGAGAATCCAGTTATGCCTTTAAGGAGGGAAAAGGGGGAAAACTAGCCCACACTTAATGCACTTCATCCTATCTGCAAGGCATACAATCTTTTTCAGTCTGTATGGTCAGCCACTGAAGATAAGACTATTTGCAATACTCTACTCAAGATTTTTCAGGGGAGAGAAATGAAGACAAGAGGCATGAAGTGACTACATCCAAGGTCAAATGGAAGCCAGGGACAGAGTCACAAACAGAACTAAATTCTCTGACTACTAAGACAGGAATCTTTCTATAAGGTGCTCTAATAGAGCTTCTCTTTCCAAATCTAGTATCAGGATTGAATACTAGTTTATACTATTGCCCACGGCCTGCACCAGCAAGAACCTGATAACTGCTTTAGGGAGACTGGCAGGAAGAGATGTATAAAGGAACCTAACAGCAGGGCAGGGATAGCAGAGTATAGGAGGAGGAAAGACATTCCATGTCTCTAGTCCTTGGTTTCTATGTCTCCAAAATAGTAGCCATTAATGGCTCTGAGGCCTCTCAGGAATGTTGTAAGGACATGGGACAAAACAAACGAGGCATTTCATTTCCCAGCTGCTATTCTAAATGCAATCCTATAACATATAAATATATTGGTTTACCCTGTAGGTTTTTTAGGAGCAGGGAGTGAACTGGAGATGCTGGTCCCCTCGGCTGGTGGTAGTATGTCTGGGCTAGGACTGTCATTCTCAGTTGTCCTCAGAGAGACCTCAGGCTGCACACCACTCTTGACCACTGGCGTCTTAGTGACTGCTGTACCACGATTCCCAGGAGATTCCTTGACCAAAATATGGGCATCTGAGATGACCACTTCTTCCCACTCATTCTCCTCACCCACTTCTCTTGGAGGAGCTACACTTAGGAGCTGGCTTACAGCTTCCGAGTTCTCCAGAGTCAGTTTGGAGGTGTTTTCCTTAGAGGAATTTTGCTCAGTGATGACAGACTGCTGATTTCTTTTAACCACAGATCCTTTGGAGGAGACACCAGGTGCCAATTCCACTTTGACTTTGGCTGGCTTTTCCTAGAAAAAATAAAAATACCTTGTATGTATATGGCATTTTACAACTGACAACACATTCACAAATATTCTCTTATTTGATCCTCATTAACAATAATGTATGGGCAACAGATAAGGAAGTCAAGGCCCAGAGAGGGGAAGAGGCTAACTTAAGGTTCCAAGTATGAAACTGGCCAGAATCTAAGTCTTCTGATCCAGGTCCCTTTCACTACAGTATTCAATGCCCAAGTTAGGATAAAGTTCTTCTCCTCCTAACAAACTTCTTATTGGCATGCCTTTAGGTTTCAGAAAATACACAGTGGCATTTTTTACCTTGACCTCTGACTGTTCAAAGCCTACTTCTCTCTCTGTCTAGAAAGAGGTTGTCACGCTGCCATATTGGGTCTAGAAGTCCTAAGTTGTTTATCTTGTGGTCCCTTTATGAGATTCAGTTAATCCCAATGTGGTCACAATCTCACAGAGAGACTCAAAGCTTCCAAGAAAGAAAAAGTCTTATCTTTTATCTAAGATTCTTTCAGGTGAGTCTTAAGGCTGACTTTTACACATATGCTACAAGCTTCTCCTTCGGTCAATTTAACTCATACATATTAATTATGACTAGAAAATAGTCAAACTCAGTAAAAATACCAGCTGTCATCTCAGATAGACCTACTTTAAAAAATTCCTTGGTGTTTTAGCTTTTATCCAATCAGCACATATACACACATGCATATACAGGGTGAGGCAAAAGTAGGTTTACAGTTGTTCGTATGGAAAATAATTAATAATAAATGAATAAACTCTGTTTCACATTCTCACAATTAGAAACAACCCACTTTTGCCAACCCCCCACACACACACTTTTAAACATTTTTTAAATAGTGGTTGTCTCCAGGAAAGGTTTTAGAAAGGCTTCTTTCTTTCATGTGAAAAGGCACTGTAAAATACATGAAACATAAAAACTGGGTTCTACTAGGCTCAGCTTCACTCCTAATTATTTAAGTGACCCAAAGCAAGCTTCATCTGAAAACCCACTTCCCCTTTATAAAAAGAGAGAGGCTCTGGCCGGTTTGGCTCAGCAACAGAGCATTGGCCCACGGACCAATGAGTTGTGGGTTTGATTCTGGTCAAGGGCACATACTTCGGATGTTCGGCCCTGGCCCTGGTCAGGGTCATGCGGGAGGCAACCAGTCTATGTGTCTCTTTCACATCGATGTTTCTTTCTCTCTCTCTTTCTCTCTTCCTCTCTCTCCCTCCCATTCTATCTGAAGATAAACAGAAAAATATCCTCAGGTGAGGATTAAAAAAAATGAAAAGTAACACGTGAGAGAGTTGGGTTCTCAGTGCATGTCAACAGCAGCAAGACAGCCTTTCAGGTGAAACAGGACCCCCCCCACCCCCCACCCCGCCCCACTAGCATCTGTGGCTGTCATTCAATTTCATTACTATCTTCCAGTCATTGATTACCAAAAACCCCTTACCTTTCCAAAGCCCCTAGGCACATGCTAAATCTAGTTAAGAACTTTAAGAAATTATAGACGACCTTTACGAAACCTCCATAAAGCCTTCTCAGATTCTAACACCCACTAGCCCATGAAGACGAGTAAAGATACAGAAAAATTCCAAGTAAATTGCACAGGGCTTATTGACTGCTAACGAGGGAAAAGTCCAAAGAAACAGAAGTTAAATTAAGCCTCTGAGATGAGATCTCTGAGCAAAACACCACCCACTTAAGTAGACTATTTTAGACAAAAATCATTTGTAGGAAGACTGGATAATTTAAGCAGTAAAAGCAACAATTCTAGCTGGTGATCTCACATTTCCTTAACTCAACCTCCTCTTTTTAGATGTCACCTTTCTTTCAAGATGAAAGGCAAATACTACCAGTTGCCCTCTCAACAGACCTCAATTACCACTATCAGAGGGCCCATAGGAGTGAGGCCCTGAGCTACAGGGCCTTCTATACCATCTTTTGTTCTAGCCACTCACTGGGAACTGTGCCACACGTTTTTGGGCTAATTTTAGCCAGTATGAACTCCAGAACAATACAAGAAAAGGTGAATCATTTCCTGACTGACATTTGGAGCTTTTAGAAACTATTTATACTTGCTTCAAAAATCAGAACTAAAAAAAATCTTAGCAATGTTTAAAAAGTGTATTTTAGTATAAGAAAAAGTACTGGCGTAATTAGTGAACTTAACAAGTGACTTCCCTTGAATCTATTTTCCTCAACTGGAAACTTGGAGTTGAACTATCTGAAAACCAAAGTCACATTTATCTCTCAAATTCTAAGTACATTAATGCTAAAATGTTACTCTTTTTCTTCTCATACTCACTTATTCTGTTCCTATGAGATTTAGAAATCATAGAATCTACTCTTTACCTAGTAATTCTTGCAAAAACCTTTGGGAAAAAATTCTGACTTAGCAAGCCAATATGGGTGACAAGTAGCTAAGTAAAAAAATTTGTTTTCATGTCATGAGTTTGATCTCAGAAAGAGAACCATGGTTCAAAAGTTATTTTAATGAAAGGTGGGGGGGGGGGGCATAAAAGAAAAAAGAAAAGAAGCAGTTAAAATATAATCTGAAGAAGTCAAAGCCACAGGGTCAACAAGATTCTTCCATGCAAAAGCACAGGAAATAAGGTCAACAGACAGACCTGCTGTGAATGAGTGAAGAAGGGCCAAGGAGGGTTCTGACTACCAGCAATTCAATCTCCCTACTGCAGCTGGCATTTGGGAGAGAATAAGTAGGGTGGGAATAAGCTGAATGGCTTCACAGAGGAATACCAGAGGTGAGCACAAGAAACTCAAGCAAATCTCCTGAGACACAGCACTAGATCCTTCCTGTCCCGAGTGATCACGTTAATAGCAATAATAGAATAATTATACTGCTGCCAACAGTGAGAGAAGTTAAGACTCGATTTAATATATGCCAGGACCATGTCATCTACTTTATATGAATAATTTCACTGGACCCCTGCAACAACCCCAATGAGCTTGGTACTATTGTTAACTTCCAATTACAAATGAAAGGAAACCTAAATCAAGAGTAGAGAAATAAAATTACTCGCTCAAGGTTAAACAGCTAAAAACTTGGGAAGCAGGGGTTTGAACTGAGGAAGCTGACTCCAGAACTGTGTTCCTAAATATTATACTATTCTGTCTCCTGGAATTGGTACTACCTTGAATTCCAACACTAGCCAGAAGGCAAATATCATCATCCCAGTATTTCTCAAAGAGATGTTTTGTGGAAATTACCCCAGAGAAACTTAAGTATACTGCTATGTAAGTTTTCTCTACACAAATACATTTGGACCATGCTGAGTTAAACCATCCTAGCCTAAGCTATTTTCACAAAAATAATGTCCCTTTTCCTTTTTTATCTATCCAAATTCTGATCCTTTTAGACCATCCCCTCTATAAAACCACCCCTGACTATTCCAGTCCTTTTGGCCTTGAAAAATTTATAGTATAATATAAAACATGTGACAAGTATGTATGATTTATATAGTAGTACCAAGCATAAACAGGTAACAAAATACATGCATTGAACTTCACTTCACAGGGGCATAGCTCTGATGTTCATTCATTTATTAAGCATCAGCTACTCAGAGAAATAGAAGTATGTTGGGAAACTTAGATAGACTACGAAAGAATATCAGGTTAAGAACCTCCACTTTTAATAGGAGCACAGGAGACTGAAAGGACTTTGAGCTAAGGAGTAAGAAGATGTGACCTATACTTCTCAATAACAAAGCAGTCAGTGTAGCCCTGGCCAGTTTGGCTCAGCGGGTAAAGTGGTTAGAGCGTCGTCCCATGGATCAAAGAGTCCCAGGTTCCATTCCAGCCAACGGTACATACCTCGGTTGCAGTTCGTCCCCAGCTCCAGCTGGGGTCGTGCAGGAGGCAACCAATCAATGTCTCTCTCTTATGTCAATGTTTCTCTCTCTCTCTCCCACCCTCCCACTCTATCTGAAGAGAAATGGAAAAATATCCGCAGGTGAGGATTTAAAAAAAAAAAAGCAGTCAGTGTAAAGGATGGATTGCTAAAAATTTAACCCTAACAGAAAATGAATAAATTAATATGGTATAGTCATCCATGATAAATTATAAAGCAATTACAGACTATGTTTTTGAAGAATATTTAAAGCCATGATTTTTAAATGAAAAAGAAAGCAAGATACAAAACTTATATATTCACACACAAAAAAGATCAAAATGTTAACTAATGACTTTTCTTTGAACAGCTTAAGACTATGGGTAACATTTTATTCTTTCTTTTTAAAACAGTCTACAATGAAACTGACTGACATGAATGGTCAGAAAATAAAAACAAATGTTAATTTTTAAAGTTTCTATTCCTAAGGGACACCTACTTTGTAGGCTTCCAAAGCAGCAATGGCCAAAAGACCTTACCTTTGGGATCCACTTCCCTCCTAGGAAGTTACCACAGGTAGGGCACTTAGGTGGTTTGTGCCTGGTGACATATGTAAAGGAGCAACCTGGGCTGGTGCATGTCCCATGGCCCCGGCGGGTGTATGTAGTGGTCTGTTAAAAAAAAAAAAGAGTGGGTCAGAATCAATACCACAGTCTAACCTCTCTCAGATCCTGATGACCATTATAACCACAATGTCAGGACAATAACAGCTTGTGCAAGGATAGGCAATTCATGGTATAAAAAAGGTCAGAGTTAGAAAGGTCCAAAGATACAACTAGTGCCCTTTTTAGAAATGGAAAAACTCAGTTAAAATAAGATAGCTGTCCAAGGTCACACAGTTAAGTACCAGAAAAATAAAGATAGTAATAGCTGTTATTTTTTTAAACTGAGATATAACTGACATATAACATAGTATTAGTTTCAGGTGTCCAACATAATGATCAATATTTGTATATGTTGCACAACAATCACCACAATAAGTCTAGTCAATATCTATCACCCCACAAAATTTTTTTATGATGAGAATAGCTGTTATTAATTGAGCAGGGAACCACAGAGCACTGAACACTTTACACAGTGTCTCATTTAATGCTCTCAGCAGTGCTATGAAGTAATACTACTACTAAGGTTCAGAGTGGTTAAATGCTTTGCCTCAAATCATAGTGACTCAATGGCAGAGCTAGACCTAGAAACCAAATCTCTCTGATTCTTGGTCAAAGATTCCTTCCATGCACCCAGCTGCACCCTATGGCTCTGAATACTTCAAAGAATGTGCTTCATCTTCATTATTAGTTAAAAATCAGAGAATCTAGGGTTCAGAGATATAAAAGCAGACCATGGTCACTGAAAAATGAGAGGGAACTCCAGCAGAAACCATAATTTATTTTTTAATTTAATTTTTTGTTAATTCTCACTCGAGGATATTTTTTCTATTGATTTTTAGAGAAAGTGAAAGGGAGAAAGGGGGGGAGGGTAGAGAGAGAGAGAAAGAGAAATATTAAGGTGACAGAGACATACTGATTGGTTGCCTCCCACACATGAGATCAAACCTGTAACCCAGGTACATGCCCTTGACTGGAAATCATACCCGAGACTCTTTGGTGCTCTATCCACTGAGCCACACCAGCCAGGGCAGAAACCAGAATTTAATTACTATTTTCAGTCCCTGGTTGACAATCCAAGTATGCAGAGGGCAGACTTGTTTAAGTTATACATAGATTTTCAACTGTGTAGGTGGTTAGTGCCCCTATCCCCTCGTTCAAAGGTCAATTTTACTTGCTTATGAATATATTCAGCCACTAGCTCTCACCACCTCTGCTGATTTCCCTTTCAACAGAATGTATTACAAAATGGGTTACTGCATTTCAGTTACAAATAGAAATTAGCCATGATCCATTTCTAGATTAACACTGGAAAGAAAACATTGCCCTTTCGGATTTGTTCTGTCACTTATGAATGTGTATTCAGCTATTAATCCCAGATTCCCAAGCTTGGCAAAAAAGAAAAAAACCTCCCTTGAGAAAACACCAACCTGCCACTAAGCCACCTCTTTCAGGACACCTAGTAAAAGGTGATTATGATAGTGCTAACAGGTCAAGAATGAGTGTGAAGTGGTGTGGCACCAGGGAACAAGACAAGGCCTTGGATTCCAATTTTGCCATCGACACATAGAATGACCAGATAATCTCCGACAAATTTGCCAGTCCCAGCATCCTAAGGTCTAAGACTTCTAGAAAGCTACCTGGAAGAGAATTCTTAAGGAGGCCTAGTTTCCATCAATTCCCCACACACTGACCAGTTTGATCGAGGTGGGATTTTCCACAACCGAGTAGGCAGGAAGAGGCAACATGATGAACTGCGTGGCGGGCACCGAGGAGCTACTCTCACTGGAATCCTGTGGGCACATGGAGAGGAGAGTTTTACTGAGACAGAGTGAAGAACACCGAGGTCCTCCCCAACAATGGAAGATCAGATTGAGTCCAATAGCCATAATGTGCTTATTCCAAAAAAATAAAATCTACAATTACCTCAAAATAAAATGTTTAAGAGCAAATAAAAATAGCAGTTAGTGAAAGAACCCAATCCTCTGACCCTGTCTAATGTTCTTAGCACCATATCAGTCTGCCTTAACCCGGCCGGTGCATGCTTTATTAGCATAAGCAGCACTGAGGCAACAAACAGTAAAATGGATTTAAGCCTGACATGGATTCCTTTACAGGCCACAGGGGCTACAACATGTGGTCCTCTCAGCAAACTCCTAACTCTCAGAGGACGCCATCCTACCAAGTGTAATACAGGGCATGGTGGCACCTTCCTGCTTCCAGGAGTCCAGGCTGTGGACTGCTCTTTCCTGAAACTGGGCATCACACTTAAGCTCTGGAGAGAGACTTGCCTCTTCTCTCAGCTACTAGTCCCATCAACCTGAAGAGAATTTGTCTTCCTACCTACTTTTTTTTGTCCATGAAGACCATTTGAAAATTCTACATAGTTCAAGGAGCCATTGTGTTTGTTGAACCAATCTTCAGGGAACATACAATCCTAACCGATACTAGTATCCTGACAGATCCTGGCTTTACCTCATGGATAGCCCAAGTATCATTTCCATCCTTCCTGCTAATGCATTATGTACTATCTCATATGAAGAGAATTCTGCCTGTGCTAGGCAAGAGGAGCCAGTGAGAGTGCCTGAGAAACAGAAAACAGCCCGGAGCAAGGCTAGGTAGGGGCAAAAAGGTTCAAGAGGACTGCATTCCTACTAGAAGCGCCACATCAGCAGCTCTCTTAATTACCACAGCTCCAGAATCACACTGCATGGTGCTAGCTGCTTTATTAGTAATTCCAGAGAAAGGAAGAGACATCAGTACCAAAGCCACTCACCCTCATGACTGTTACCACTGACATGCTATCCCCAACCTGGGGTTGAGGCACAGCCAGGCTTCCGGTGGGGAGGTCCGGTGAGCCGTTCACTAAGGTCTCTTCAATTACCAGGCTTGTCTGGTAAGGTTGGTGGCTCTCCCCTACCTCCAGGGAAGCATCCTCCAGGAGTACATCCTGGCTGAGGATCTCTGAGGTGGTGATCTCCTGTACAGCTCCTGGCTGGGCAAGGGCTCCCACCTCTTCAGCTAGGGCCTCCACAGCCATGCACTGCTCTGCCATGCCTGCATGGCTGGGCACTGTCTCCAGGGCAGTGTTGGATACAAGAGATGGTCCTTTAGGGGACATCTGGTTCTGGGCCACACACAGTTCTAGCTGAGGGCAGCTCCGATCCTCCTGCAGGCTGCTCTTGGGGATGATGATGTAATCTGAGCGGGGTAGGATCTTGCGGAAACCTGGGATGTCTGGAACCACAGCAGTCAGTGTAGAGAGCTTAGAGTTCTGAAGATGAGGAAGCCAGGAAAGGGGAGACAAGCAAAAATAAATGCAGTAAGGCCACATGGATATACATTTCTGAGCTCCCCAACCCAAACCTACTGTAAAAAGGACCAGAAAGACTCTACCCTCTTGACCTAAGACTTAGACAGGGTCAGCCTCTGTAATAGCAATGACACCTTTATTTGAATCACACTTTAACCAATGTAGTTTCCTCGCTCATTTGCACAGGAAACAGAGAACATGAATTAGACTCTATGAAGGGCACTGATCTTGGCATCTAAACTGTGAATGGGAACCCCAGGAGTGGTATAGTCTTGAGCAAATCTGTACCCCTTTTTCAGACTAGCTGCCCAAACCGTAAAATGAGGGAGCTGAATCTGGTTATTTATGAGTTCCTTTCCAGCTCTGATACTTTTAGAATTCCATAGTAGCCGAAGATTTTAAACACCAGAATTATAACGTGCAATAAAAAGCAAAATGCCTAAATTACAAGTCAACAGGCTGAGTTGGAACTCATGACAGCAAGAATTCAAACATTACTGGTATCTCCCAGCTTACAAAAAAAAGAGGATGAAGAGACACAAAGCTAAGAAGGCTTCATGAGAGAATGTGCACTTGGAAGGGGTTATCGAACAAAGGCCTAAATATATTGGGAGTGGAAGAAAAGAATATAAATATTAACACTGACCTAGGGTCTTCAAGTTTAGAAAAATAATTTCCTAGCCTTAAAAATAACACTATTAAGTTAGATAATATTATCATTCCCATGTGACAATGAAGGAATTGAAGCTCAGGGAGGTAAATTTTCCCAAAACACAAAATTAGTATGTAGTAAAGCTGGGACTCCAGGCCTAGTCTACTAAGATGCTCCGCCTCCTCTCCCCCCACAAGGATTGTTTCCCAGACTCACAGTTTATAAACAAATTATCTGGCAGAGGAAGTATATAGTGGCAGTTCCAAAACATTAGGTAACACAAACCTGTTCCTGGAAAAGGAATGCCAAGCCAATAAGGACAAAATATCTAATGGCAGTGGCAGATGGGCTCCACTAAGGGAGAACAAGTATTTTTGTGATTTTTTTTCTTTTTTGTGTCTCCCCCCCCCCCCCCGCCAATTTAAACCAAAAGTTACCCAATAAGAAAATAGAAAAGTTCAAAGTGAACAGTTGAGAACTGAAATTAAATGGAATAAAACATAATTTCAGAAGTATTTTTTAAAAGAAACACTAAGTCAATTCCAAAAGGATCCTTAAATAAATCAAAAGCAGTAAGTCAATGAGTCACTTAAGGTACAAAGGAAGCATTCAGATGATACAGGAAAGCAGACAGACCGAATCCTTTATGGAACCTTTACTGAAGAGATAATGGAGAAATGACATTCTCAATCCATCCTTTGAAGTAGACAGGTCAGGAGAACAAAAGCAAGCAGTGGCAAATGCACAGGATGGTCTGGACTCAATCAACAGATTCAAGGACAGAGAAACCAGGATGGCCTGAATGACATTCACCTTACAGATAGACTGGAGGGAATAACACTGGAACCACTGGCCCTGTCACCTGGCAGGAGACCTGAGGTGCTGCCGAGGAGACAGCCTGCCACAAGGATTCTGATAGGCTTCCGAAGTATACAGGCAAGAGGGTCTCACCATCACACTAGGCAATGTGAGGTCAAACACAGCACATAAAGTCTAACCCAGTCTTGGCATAGTCTAGATGCTCATTAAATGCCACCTTTTCTTATTATATGGTCACTGGATATTTAATGTACTAAAGAGTGATATTTACTGACCGAGTCAGTTTGTGCCAAGAACTCAGCTAGGTGCTTTACATTATATATTTTAAACAGTGTGAGAAGATACTACTATCTCCATTTTACAAATGAGAAAACCAATACTCAAAATTAAGTGGTTCTTCCAAGATCACAGCTAGTTGGTATCTGAGCTAATGTATTGATGTTCTTGGAGGTAGTGGTAAAATGATGGTAGATATAAATTTACAATGAATAAGGAAGAATCATTGCAGAGGATTTATTTAATTTTTTAAAGGTCTTAACAAGGACCTACATTAATGTCTAGTTTTAAAAACCGTATCACTCCAGATCAGGTAAAATATTTTGGTATCATGGGGAAAAAGATTGCTGAGTTTATAATGGGGAAACCAATGGGAGCATGTGTACTTCTCCTAGACTCCACCTCTTCTCCCCCCTCCTGTTTCCCAGATTCACAGTTTAGAAACAAATTATCTGGAGGAGGAAGTACACAGTGACATCTATCTCCAAGACTGTAGGTAACACAAAGCTGTTCCTGCAAGAGGAATGCCAAGCCAATAAGGATAATATATCTAAATGGCAGTGGCAGATGGGCTCCACTAAGGGAAAAGTACAGCCTATTCTGCTATAACACAGTTGCATTCCTGGAGAACTTTTGCTCTACATTATCATAAGAGAAGTTAGAGACAATTGTTTCAATTGAAAAAATGAAGTTAAGGTTAAAAGGTTTCAGCATGCAATAACAAGGTTATTTTCCTACAGGAATTTTAGTTTTGAAAAAAATACAGCAGTGTTAATAGTTGTCAGTGCGTTTTGTTATCATGAACCAGAATAACCCAATTGCTTCCTTGCTTATTCTTTAATTCACGCAAAGCTTCAGTCTCCTCCATCATCTTCTTTTTAATCTTGCATTTCAGGTTCTAGCATAGTTAACCACCACTGGTGGTGACATTATACAAAGCAAATATATCAAATCAAAAGCAGAGCCTATTTGCTGATCATTATACCTTACAGGAGTCAGTACCACACAAGTTAATTACATTATATTCAATTTATAATATGAACACTCACAATGTAGGAGAAATGCCTATACGGGGTGGGCAAAAGTAGATTTACAGTTGTAAGTACATGAAACAGTTTATTCTTGTATTCTATATTTTTCCATACAAACTGTAAACCTACCTTTGTCCACCACTGTAAAAGCTACTATATTAAAGGAAAATAATACTAACTATCCACAAGAATAAAGGGGCTCCAAGATACGCTAAAATTCAGGAAAATAATCTAAGAATCGCTGCAGATAACTCAGAAAAATATCAGTTCCGTGTACTACTACAATCAAAGAGGACAAAAGAGTACAGGGTATCATCAAAATTAATGGCAATAATGGTATAATGACAATATCAGGTATAATAACAATATCAGACTCAAGAAAGAAAAATGACTCAATTCAAAGTTTTCCTAAGAAAAGGAAACGGGTGTTGATCGCCCCAAGGCTTTCGCCACTGAACCAGTGGAGAAATCAGTTGGGGGAAAAAAATTACTTACAGGATCCAAACCTTCTTTCTCTAGTTTGGCTTTCTCCAAGTAGTAACTCCTTTCAGCCACGCTGAGAAGCCTCCAGCTCTCGCTGATCTTCTTATTGATCTCAGACTGAGGGAGGTGTGGGAGCTCCTGCTGCACTTTCAGGTAGATGTCATAATAGTACAGAAGGTAAGCCGACCTGAGGAAGCAATGACTTCTTAAGGTTTTCCCTCATTCAACCAGTGAATACTACAATGTTAGAGTTTGGGTAATGAAGAGGTAGATACAAAACTCAGCTTTTCATTTAACTAAATGAAGAACTAGAGCAAAGAAACATTTAAATACCCCCCTAGATGGTGTATCAGAGGTTTCTCTTTAGAAACCAGGAAGCAAAGAGTTCTCTGGTTTACTTCCATGGACATTTTCTGCAGGGATGATTGGCTTTAAAACCCAATAAGCAAAGACAGCTACAGGTGCCCTGTCATTCCACTCAAAGAAAGGTTATTTAGGGGTTGATTCCATGGTTGGGTTACCACTCACACTCTTTACAGTCTTCGGTCATCTCACTGATCAATAGCACTTCAAGGCTGAGAGAGGGAAGCAAGAACTATCAAAGTGACCCAATGCTGGTGGCCACAGCAAGAAGTTAGGAGTGTTCAGTTAAGAGGGAAACCAGAGCTATAATTTGGATAGTCTTAAAAGGTATTTTTGGTACTATTTATAAATCCACATTTTTATTAATGCTTTATTTTAAATATTTAAACACTAACAATGGTAATAACAAATAAGTTATTTTGTACAATAAGTCTTCCTTTAACATTGTTGACAGGTTCTTGGAATTGCAGCAAAACAATGTATTATTAAACCAATTTCATCATAGGCTAATTGATATAAATAAGAGTTAAGTCCCTATGCATCCCAATGTTATAATGAAATGACACTGAAAACACACATTTTTTTTTTTTTCCCCCTCATCCGAGGACATTTTTCCATTTTTTGTACAGACAGAGTGGGAGGGAGAGAGAGGAAGAGAGAGAGAGGGAAACATCGACGTGAAAGGGCCACATCGAGTGGCTGCCACGCGCCCGACCAACCAGGGCCGGGGACAAACTGCAACCGATGTACATGCCCTTAGCGGGAACCGAACCCGGGTCTCTCCGGACCGCAGGCGGACGCTCTAACCGCTGAGCCAAACCGGCCAGGGCAAAAACACATATTTTATTCAAAGACCTGTTGTACATAGCTTCCACCATCCGTATGATACAATTTCCTCTGACGGTCTAGAAATGTGACCAAAATCTGGCCAGGAATGGCAATTGCCAGCATCAATCTCCCACTTACCACTCCCCATCTCCCTCTCCCCCAACTCCAATGCCTATCCAGAGATTTCAATTAACATGGAACTCTCAGTGAATCTGGACGCAGTCTTAAAGTCTTCCTCAACACAGCTCTCCAAGCAGCTACTGTTTATAAACGTCAGCTACAAAAATATGTTGACTAACCTGGGTTTCTTGGCCTTTTCTCCATGTATTTTATACTTTTTCTTCTTCTTGGGTGGCCCAGGGGAGGTATAACAGTAGGATTCCTCAATTTCCTCCATCACGACAGTTACCTCAGTACCATCATATGATGCATCCATGGCTAGAAGACAGTGAAATACAAATATGTTTCAAGAATTGACCCTAAAGGGAACAGCAAACGATCCCTTATCTCTGCCAGGGCGTTAAGGCTGAGTCATTTCCCAAACTCAGTAGGTCCTAAAAAGTACCTGGGGGGTACTGACTAGATACAGATTTCAGGATTCCTCCTGGCCTTCTGCATCAGAATCTCAAGGGTACAGAAATCTGCATGCTTAACAAATGCTCCAGGTGATTCCTTTACTGAGATAAATGTGGGAACATTAGCTTAGCCCTTTCACTTATATTCATTCACTCAAGGGATACTAACAGTAATCCTTCAGCTCAAAGATTCTAGTCACACATTATCAGAAGTCCACATGGTAACAGGTAAAAAGAATATTAGGCCAGGAGTCAGATGTTCCATCACCTCAGGCAAACCACTTCATTAATTCACTCAGTCATTCACTCAAACATGCAGTAATTGCCTATATAAGAGATTTCTTTACATTCTGCCAACCTGTGTGACTTTGGGAAGGTCCTTTAGTTGCTTTAGGTTCAATTTTCTGATGCATAAAAAAAGAGATGTCTCGCCCTGGCCAGTTTGGCTCAGCGGTTAGAGCGTCGGCCTGCGGTCCGGAGAGACCCGGGTTCGGTTCCCGCTAAGGGCACGTACTTCGGTTGCAGTTTGTCCCCGGCCCTGGTTGGTCATGCGGGTGGCAGCCACTCGATGTGTCCCTTCACATCGATGTTTCTCTCTCTCTCTCCCTCCCACTCTATCTGTACAAAAAATGGAAAAATATCCTCGGGTGAGGATAAAAAAAAAAGAGATGTCTCACCCACCTTACCACAGATTTTTAGTGGCAAGGCTCAAAGATATCATAGACATAACTTTGTTTGAGAATAGTTGAATGCCATATGAAGAAAGGGTTCATATGAAAGATGAATAATCCTTTTTTTTATTCTCACCTGAGGACATTTTTTCATTTTTTTGTTCAGATAGAGCAGGAGGGAGGGAGGGAAGGAGAGAGAGAGAGAGAGAGAAACATCAATGTGAAAGGGACACATTGAGTGGCTGCCACCCGCATGACCCAACGAGGGACAAACTGCAACTGAAGTACATGCCCTTGGCAAGAACCGAACCCGGGTCTCTCTGGACCGCATGCTGACACTCTAACCGCTCGCTGAGCCAAAACCAGCCAGGGCAAGGTGAATAATCTTTGACTGAGATGCTTAACGACCTGCCCAAGGCCACCACAGCAAATAGGGACTTACATGACAGATTTGCTTTTTAATTCAAAAATCCAACTCTGAACCTTCTTTCATTATACTATACTGCTCCCCATCTCCACTGGCAACCCTCTAAACCAGCACAGTTCAATAAAATTTCTATGATGACGAAAATGTTCTATTATTTGTGCTCTCCAATATGGTAGCCACTTACGGCTAACGACCACCTAAAATATGGTTGGTCTGATTAAAGAATTGAATCAATTTTGTTTAATTGTAATCAATTTAAATAGTACATATGGCTAGTGGCTAGGGCAATGGACAGCACAGGTGTAAACAATAATCTGACAGACCAACATTAGCTCCCTGCCACTGGCCTAAGAAACAGAAAATCTACTAAAGGCTTTTCCTAGGGAAAGAAAGGCATACAACAGTTGAATGAGTTCATTGTGGCCACATTCTAAATTGGAGTTACACCCACGAGACTCAATCCTTGGAGGGAGAACACCACGTGAATTTTACCAGAAGGAAATAACATGCTTGCTCCTAAACATGTGTCTATTTTTTTTGAGAATTTAGGATTCTAGGAAGAGGGAGTTGTGGCAGTAAACACAGGGCTGATCTGTTTGTGTATTATAAAGCTCACATCTTAACTTAGACCTCACTACACAAATGATAAGGTGTCTTACAGGGTATGAGAAAAAGAGCACAGTACATTGAGTCAGCAGACCTGGATCCAAGTCTACACTCTAACCTTGTCATCTCTGACTAGCCTATTCCCTGCTGTAAATTTCAATTGTTCCTCAAATGAGACAAAGAGGCTGAAATCAATGGCTCCTAACTTTTTGGGAGACAAGAATCCCTTTGAGAATGTTGTGAAAGCTAAAAAAAATCTTTCCTAGAAAATGCAGGCAAAAAATATTTCATCTATAATTTTAAAGACATACAGTACTCCAGGATAAAAACACATTATTCTATTCCCAAGGTTATTTCTAGTTCTGTATCATCTCTTAATTATTTCCCTTCCCACTATAACACACACACACACACCCTCCATTCTGTCATAGTGCAACCCTGGAAGAGAACATAACCTACAATTTGGCTGGGTAAGTAAGAGGCCAGTGCTTTCACTGGGTAAGGAAAGCTAGAGTTCAAATCAAGGCTACGTGGGGGCTGCACTTTTGCCCTTAATAATCGATTCCTCGGCCCTTCAGAGTCTTGGAGAAAAAAGCAATTAATTGCAGGAGAGCATCTGTAAAGAGTGGCATATAGGGTTTTAGCACCCAGAACAAAATGACTTAGAAAACAATACCATTACAACCACCTTGGGGTGGGGGCAGGAAGAGACTAACCTGAGTTTTTGTCCTTTTTGTCTATTTGACTACCCCCGTTTTAAGCCTGGGTCCACGTTTTCAGATCCCAAGCCTCAGTACAGCAATACCCCCCTCCTCCACCCCACCCAAGGCAAGACACTATAAAGGTTAAAACCAAGGGCTCTGAAGGGCAGAAAACCAGGATTCTAATTTAAGTTACACATTTTAACAGCACCCACAGAACTCTATGACCTTGAGCAATCTACTTACTGTTTTCTCACCTGCAAAGCAGTTAAGGGCAGTACTTGAAATTTGGAGACACTTACACTGTCCCATCACATTCTCCTCCCAACCTCCTGAGATGGCTTTGACGGCTCAGCTATGGACCACGGTTTGACTCTGGGCTAGTTCCTTTCCCTCTTTGGGTCCCAGATATTTCAAGGTACCGAATGCGGGAGGGCACTAAGGCTCACTGTTCCTACTTTGTAGAAGGCAACAGGACTGAGAGAGCCACAGCACCCAGCTCGCGGTGCAGCGAGGCGCTCAAGGGCGGGACTTACCCCGAGGAGCGTGCAAGCCGCGCGGCTCACATTCCCGGAGGCACCCGGCCCGGGGGCTCGACGAGCGGGCTGGCCCGCGCACTCGCGCTCCCCGCTGTCGGCGAGAGGCGGCTCCAGTCGTGACAGTGGCAACAAGGAAGTGGAGGCGAGAGCTCGCGCGCGCATCCCGGGGCCTGGAGGAGCCCCAGCCCCGCGGCCCCGCCCGGCGACACACGGCGCGGAGTCGCGACAGCCCTTTCGCTCCTGTTCCTCAAAGTCACGATATGAGGTTTTGGAGGGCGGGTGAGGGAGCACAGGTTCACTCTGCAGGCTCTTCACCGACGCCTGCTGAGGGCCCCGGGGGGTCAAGCCCCGGGGAGCCCGAGGAAGACAGCAGAAACACGGGCGTCGCCGCGGCACCGGTTCAGCAGTGAAGGCAGCAGCGGCAGCAGCAGTAGCAGCAACAGTAACCTCGAATCGCCTGGGAGACCCGTCCCGGCAGCCCTCGCGGCGCACAGGAAGCGGCCGCGGCGCGTGACTGCGTGCGACGGCCTTGCGCAAGCGCAACAGCTCAGCCCCAGCTGTGGGGCGGGCCCAATGGAAACTGCTTGGAGATTTATGGAGGGGACCGATACAGTGGACGGACTGCTTCCGGCCTGAAGTTCGGGAAGGAAGAAGCTGCGGCCGCCCGCTGTGGGAAGTCTTGGCCACCCGGTCATTGACGTCAGGCGTTCAGGTAACTGGGGCGGGGCTGTGCTCGAAGTGAAGGCTTTGAGGCGCCGCTTCACCGCTCAGAGCCTCGATGGGTTCCGAGGAGCCCCAGCACTAGAACTCTCAGCATGGCGGGCACGGCCTGATCGCAGCCCTCCCCAGTCAGCCGCCACTCGTCCAGGATGGGGCTCTTAGTGTTGCAGCAAGCTGCCCTCCTCACCGCGGTGATCTACCCTCAGCCCGCCTCTGCCACCGTCCCACACACAGCAATGGCAGCGAGTTCCCGGAGAGACTCAAACTTAATTAAATGACCCTATGGAGAGGCTCTAGAATCAGATATGGTTGTATTGTCCTTTCCCCCGCCGATGTCACAGATTGTGATTGTCCCACATTGGTACAAATCCTCGCACGACCCTCACTATCTTGCAAATGTGTCTCCACAACGCCTACTCTTCTCCAGCTACCACTGTTACCAGCCTTCTCCTAGTCACCATCATATCCTGTCTGGACTGATGCAATTGCTTCCCACCTCCACTCTTGTTCCTCTACAATCTATTCTCCATACAGCAGCCAAAGTGACCTTTTTGCACTGTAATCTGATTAAGTCACTCCGTGCTTAAAACCCTCCAGAGTCGTCTTGTCCCCTTAGATTACAAATCAAATTTCTTTTTTTTAAAAGTTTTTTTCTTTATTAGTTTTAGAGGGAGAGGGAGAGAGATAGAACATCAAGGAGAACACCGACCAGCTGCCTCCTGCATGTCCCCCCCCCCCCCCCAATCTGGCCCACAACCTGGGCATGTGCCCTGACTAGGATTCGAACCAGCAACCTCTTGGTGCAGGGGTCGTCGCTCAACCACGGAGCCACATCAGCCGGGCCAAATAAATTTCTTAACGCTGGAGCTACACGACTTTGGTTTAGCTCTTGCTTCATTCTCTTTCCATGTCTCTTCTCAAAAGGGGTAATTCCCAGAACAAGCTCTATAGCACTCTGTAGTATTAAGAATACTGGTTTTATGGTTAGCCTTACCTGGGTTTGAATTCCAGCCCTGCCACATGTAAGCAGTATTAAGCATGTTAAAATAATAAGTTATGTTTACAACATAGATCCTTAATAATTGGTTCTCTTCTCAATAAATGGCACCACCACCCACTGGATTACTCAGTGCTCAAGCCAGAAATCAGGAAGTTATCTTTGACTCCTCGAGCACCTCACATCCAATCCATCAGCAAGATCTGCAAAAACGTAGCCCCAAAGTGACTATGTCCTACCATTTCCACTATTGCTCTTAATCCAAGCCACCGTTATCTCGCATCTGGATCCTGCAGCAGCTTCCTAACTAGTCTCCCAGCTTTTTCTCTTTTACCTTCAATTCTGTTTTTCACACACAGCAGTTGTCTTTCTCCTTGTTTAAGATCCTTCAGTAGCTTCCTGTGAACTCAAATGAACATATCCAAACTGTATGTGACCTACTAGACTAGCCTACATTTATTTCAGATTTAGGGCCACCTCTTGGGAAACGACTTTACCTATTAGGTTCCCCACTTTGCAATCAAAGAACTCTTCCTAAAGTGCAATTCTGATCATATCATTCTAAAAAAATCAACCTCTAAAGGCCTCATATTGTCCCAAGATCAAGCTGAAATCCTTACTAGGCCTTTCTGTGTCCAAAGACTTATTTTTTTCCTCACCATGCCATTTTTTTTTCTGTAGTACTTAATTACCTTTACACATATTTTCTTCTGTCTCATGACTTCCTATTTATACTTTAAGGCCTAACATCAACATTATTTCCTCTTTGAAGTGTACTTTCAATGCATGCCCTACCCAGCTGATCATCCCTACTTCTATGTTCTAGTCATGGTACTTTGTAACTTCTTATAGTATTCCATACACTCTAGTGTTTTTCTTCTCATCTTCCCTGGTAAGCTCCTCATAGGTGGGCACTATGCTCCATTCATCTCTGTATGGCTGGCATCGAGCACATGAATGGATAGACAGATGTGTGGAGGTGGTGGTAGAAGCCATTCCTCAGAAAGAGGCAATCACAGTATAAGGTCACGGCAGCTTCTCTTGTCCTTTGAGGAGTCTTATGATAAACGGTCTAAGCAATTACCAAAACTTCTGCTGTATTATGTTTATTTCCTTTGTAGCATGTATCACACTAATTTATCTGTTTACTTATTGTTTATATCCCCCCACCACATTATATATTTCATAAGGGCAAAGACCTTGAGTATGTTGTTCATCACAGTATCCTTGTAAATATTCATTAAATGAATGTATGGCTACCAGAATCATCCTCCCACAGTGAACATCCTTCCCAGCCAAATGGTGACACAGCTTTGAAGATCTCAATTTGGTGGAATTTCAAGTAAGACTACGGAGTGGCAGAAATAACACCAATCTGAGTCAAGAAATCTAAGCTGTATGACCCTGGATAACCCCTTTTCCTGGACCTCAGTTTCTGTATTTGTAATATCCCTTGAATGTATACAGTGCATTGCTATTTGCAAACCACTTTTACAAAATCTGTTTTTATTTTTATTTTATTTTATTTTTTTGGTACGCGCCCCTAGCGGGAACCGAACCCGGGATTCTCTGGCCTGCAGGCCGAAGCTCCAGCCACTGAACCAAACTGGCCAGGGCTGTTTTTATTAATTTTTAGAGAGAGAGGAAGGGAGAGGGAGAGAGGAACATCAATTTGAGAGAGAAACGTCAATTGGTTGCCTCTTGCATGCCCCCTACCAAGGATCAAGCCTGAAACTCAGGCACACACCCCAACCAGAATCGAACCGGCAATCTCTTGGTGAATGGGATGACACTCAACCAACTAGCCACACCAGCTAGGGCTGCAAAGCTCTTTTACCATCTGTTATTTCAATCTATTCTCATAGTAGATGGAGCAGACAGTGTTACTATTTTATGAAGACTCAGAAAGTGTAAATAAACTAGATTACTTGTAAGATCTGTTCTATTTCAAACATCCTAAAGTAGTTAGTCGCCACGAAAAGTAGTATGAATCCCATCTTGACTTTGGCCTTATATTATCATTTCTTAATAGGATTTTTAAAAACCTGAACCCATTTTTTATTGTTGTTGTTGTTAATCCTCAGGCGAGGATATTTTCCCATTGATTTTTAGATAGAGTGGAAGGGAGGGAAGGAGAGAGAGAGAGAAACATTGATGTGAGAGAGACACATTATTTGGTTGCCTCCCGCACAACCCAGGGCCAGGGATCGAACCTGCAGCCCAGGTACGTGCCCTTGACGTGGAATCGAACCTGCAACCCTTCGCCTCTGAGCCAAACTGGCCAGTGCTCAACTCATCTTTTAGGGGGAATTAATTATCTTTGGTTCCTGATAGGTATTCCATTTTGTCTTCTCTGTTTTCCACACTTGTGGCAAAACAAACCACAAGGAAGAGCCGACACAGCGCTGGTTGTTGTGGCCCAGCCCTCATTCTGCAAATATAGCAAACAAGGGGAACAAGTAACATAGGCAGTTTTCCCTGGAGGAGAAAATGAAAGTTATAAAAGCTGCAGATTCAGGCAAGAATAAAGGTGATGTGGCAAAACAATTCAGTATCATTCCCTACTTTGTCTATTCTTAAAGGATGGTGTAAAATTTGAAGAAAAGGTGAGGTAGCATCTACGGAACCCCAGCAGCAAAAGATGAGGAATGCTCTCTATAACAACATCGATAAGGCTGTTTTTGCTTGGTTTCAAGAAATCCATGTCAAAAACATTCTTGTGACTGGTTCTATCATTTGGAAAAAAGCACTAAACTTGGCCAACATGCTTGGCTATGACAATTTTCAAGCAAGCGTGGGCTGGCTGACCAGATTTAGGGATTGCCACGGAATTGCTTTGAAAACAGTCTGTATTGATAGTGACAGACTAATGAATGATATAGGAATAGATAAGGTTAACGAGTGGCATGCAAGGGAAAGTATAAAACTGATTGCTGATGACAGCCTAGATGATATCTTTAATGCTGACAAGACAGGAGTGTTTTTCCAGTTGCTTCCCCAGCACACACTGGCTGCTAAAGGGGACCATTGTAGACGGGGAAAGAGAGAAAAGCAGTGATAGACAACATTCTTTTGAAATGGGGGACTGAAAAAAATGAGACCATTGATTGCTGCTAGGTCAGCCAGTCCACACTGCTTTAAGAACGTCCATTCTCTCCCTTGTGATTACTGAGCTAACCAATGGGCACTGAATCTGTTTAATAAGTGGCTGATGCAAATGGATGCCAGGATGAAGCGGTGGAATGTCAAATCCTCCTGTTCAACAATTGCTCTGCTCACAACATACTTCCATGCTAGGAAAGGATTCGGGTGGGGTATCTGCCCTCAATTGTATTACTGTCCTACAGCCACTGAATCTTGGCATAATTCACACCATGAAAGTGATGTACAGGAGCCACCTTCTATAACATCCTTTTCAAGCTCAGCAGCAGTGAGGATCATGGAAAAGTGGACATCAAGTAGGCATTGTCCCTATGGAATTGACAGATTCTGACAAAGCAGAAGCAGCCAGTGAACCAGACATTGCCTCTGAAAAGTTGTAGCACTCAGTGGCTATTGCCACCTGTGTCCCAAATGAAGTAAATGTGCAGGACTTTGTCACTGTAGATGATGACCTCAGCTACAGTGGCTGATGGACACAGAGGTCATCCAAGGTATAAGGGCCAGTGAAAATAATGATGAAGCTGGAAGTGAAGATGAGGAGGAGGCTTCTTTTTACCACAGCAGCCCAAAA